AGAATCCAGAGCATCAAAACATCTTGACTAGGGTTTGACCCAGTGTCCAAATTTTGGCGTTTATGCATTTTTGATGCCCAAAACACATTTGGTGTGAACACACCATAAGAAGAGACTGAAAATGTAAAACAAAAACACATGTTAATAGATAGTAGCATGTTGTATTTACACAAAGTGTGGCTTGTGCTACAACAGTTTAATATAAGTGGCAGTCTTTTTGTTTCTGATGCAGCAATCCTGAATTGTTCTCCTACTGGAGGTGGGACAAACAGTGCATTGCCCAGGTGGCACTGCTGTAGTTAGCTCTCAAAGTACAAAGGTTTACTTCAGTCAGACATCAGTGCTCTTATTTATCAATCTACATATTTAGGCTTATTTTTTACTTTTGAGTAAATAGAATGTACACAGCCTTACAAAATCTGTTTTTAACTGTTTTTTATGTTTTTATTTTACTCTTTTACTGATAGATTTTATTCTCTCAGCGCTATAGGAATAGTCACAGTCTTTGTTAAGCCTTAGGCAAAAAATCTGCCTGAGGAAAATTTTTTTATTTGTTTCTGCAACCAGCTCTGCCAGTTAGTGTGCCTCCTGTTACCAATTATCTCTCCTGGATTCCTGATTTCCCTCCCAGCTTCTGAGAAGGTTGTTGGCTTTCCATCGGTGCACCTTCAGCACCACTGATTTGTTTTCAGACAGTAACCCTGTTCTCCTCCCCACAGTGATTCCAGTTCCGGTCAGATCTTGTTTCCGCAACACCTGTTTATTTTAGTATAAATTATTTGAACGCTTACCTCATGAATCTATTGAATTATTGCGTGTCTATATTCTGTGCAGAAAATACAAGATGCAAACAGTTTTATTTATGATTCCCCACATTTTTCCTTTCTTAAAGTTAACTTCTAGACCTCAGAACATTAACCCTTAAAACCTTCTGCACTGTCTGTTTATCCTAGTCATATGTTAGACCTATTCTTTAAGAGGATAATAAAGCATCTTCTGCATGAAGAGCTCTAATTTCTAAATTCCTTAGTCTTTTTTGGTATATTTTTTTAAAACAAGCAACTGAGACAACTTCAACCACATCTTATCACAAAAAGCTCTGCATACAGTTAACCTTTGAATCAGAAAATAAATCTAAGTGTAAATAGTCATGTTGTAAACATTTATGCCATTTATAAAACATTAATAAAATGGAAACACATTATACTGTTAATCATTTAAAAATGAATTTACCTATTTGTTAAAACTATGTAATGTCCATTTATCAAAAAGTCTTTCGTAGGCGTTTATGGCTAACTATTTCTTTGAAATCTAAAACACTCACACAGAAGGCAGAGTACTTTATCTTCAAAACATTTAACTTTTCTATGTAAGCAGATGAGTCCAACAGAAGCTGTTAACATTTACTTTTCTTTTTACAGGTAATTAAACCTCCATTGTTGTGCTTTTTTATGTGCTGTGGGTTAAACAGACAACATGCTAAAAGTAATCCTAAAAACAACAATGTGCAATCTACTGGAGACAGGCATCATTGGCTTTTGCATTCTTTGTGCAAGTTAACTCTTTACTGACTTCTTTTATAACATATATCTGTTAGACTCACTATTATTGACATTTTATTTTCAGCACTGTTCACCAGTAAATTATAAAACCTGTTGCAATGGCAGTTTATTTCTCGGTATTTAGTTATTTTTAAATATTCCCAGGGATGTGGCACGGAGCGAACACTGAATTATCCAAGCATACTTAATGTAATCTCCACTGAACTCTGTACATCATGAAGCTCCTTTTGTAAGGTCTCCACCCAGTCAATTATCCATCACATCAGATTAGTGAAGAAAAGCACTGGTGTTCAAGCACATTGTGAAAACCTGCAAGAACAGGGAGTTCACCATAAACCATTTTGGGATATATTAAAGGGAGAATAGAGACATTTATATTTTATTGTATGAGTTCCATTCTATTGCATGTAACACCACTGACTGGGATATTAATAGCAGACATCTAAGCAAATGTGAATGTTTACAAGATCATAGAGCCTTTTGTTGGCAATCTTTTGATTTGTTTTTATAAATCTCCAATCCTTTTAATATAATCTGTTTGATTTGTTTTTTTGATTGTAGAACAATGTGCATTTTACTGCTAAAAACTAAACTATGAACATACATTTCTGTTTTACATTGTGGTTAATTCCAAAGATCCACCAATAATTTCAATTCAGTATACAAAGCAGCCAAACTCATGGCGTAAAGCTCTACCACAGGACACGTTTTAAAGACAAATATGAGGGCAAAAAATTATGTATTAAAGGAAAAATTGATAAGGATAAACTCAGAAATAATGTATATTTTAGGCTTGGGAGTGTGTCAACAATAAAGAAAAGTCAAACTGTTTGAAACTATGTGCCGTTAGAAAATGAATATGGTCAAAACATCAAGAAATTAAAGATAAAGTATATCTAAAGTAGTATAGAAATGGTATAGAGAAATTAGACTAGATGAGTTAGTCTCATATAAGTTATTAGGGGAAATTCTGGCAGGAAATAACTGAGAGACTAAGAAATAAGCTAACAGCCAAGGGGAATGAGTGTGACAGTGATAAACAGGCAGGATTCATGACAGTGGCTAAAAAAACTTGCACTTCTACACACACCCTTTTAAACATAGGTATATATGCTGTTTTTCTTCATTGTTGTAATATTCACTGCTAATTACAAGTTTGGAGAAAATAAACAAAGTACAATATAATAGAAATACTCTCAAAGGTTACTTCCCCTGTCAACAAAAATAGTAATCAGTCCTTAAAAAAGTAGAAACCTAATGAAATTAGGAATTCAGACATGATAGAAACAACACCAAGTCCAGGATCAGAATGGAGAAGGAATGGAATTTAAGTGACTTTTAATGCGGCCTGATTTGAAGACCTGCTGATCTTCTGTTATTTTCAAACACAACTCTACTTTAAGTTTAAAAAGCATACTTAGAAAAGAGAAATGATCTAATGAATAGTAAGTGTTGTGGACAAACACACTGATGTCAGGAAATATTGGGCAGACTGATTTAAAAATAGCAACTCAATAATCTAACACCCACTTTGAACATGTAAATGTTTATTGAATGGCCTCCATTGTCACAAAATCACTGATATGTGTGAGGTGTATCTTTGAAATAGGGTGGAAAGGGTGGTAAACATTTGGCTAGTCTGTGCAGCTAGCAAATCAGCTGTAAATTACTTAAAATCTCATTACAATTGGGCTTAAAACCAATGAAGAATACTACCTACAAGTTAGTGACTTCAGGCAGTTCTGAGATCAAAGGGTGTCCCAACCAGTACTGGTACGGTGTCTCTAACAGAATAATCTTTCACTATTTACCTAACTAAAAACTCTGAAAAAAATAAGAAGTCAGTTATCGTTTGCCTTTTCTCTCCAACATCTGTGGATAAAACACTCACAATGTTGTTCTACCCAATATTAACCCTCCATGGTACCGTAATTACTCTATTTTTATTTGCATTAAAGTTGCCTAATCACGCTTTAAAATTATTAAAGAGTTTCCCATCGATTACCAGTTTTTTTTAAGCTGATTATTTAAACAAGGGTAGCATATTTCTTTTTACATTTTTACTGATGCTGCACCATCCATCTTTTACCCTCTTAAAAAAGAATAGAAGAATTTTTTCTTTGAAATTCAAATTTTCACTAAAACATTTTAGAAAGCACACATTTAGCATAAGTAGTTTTAATTAATCAGGGAAAAAAACAAACAACAGAATTATTGATGCTACCATTTCCACAACCCCCAAAAATCCTTATAAAAAAGAAATGCAATAGAAGCATTTTCAAACCTACAATTTTCTAAATTACCCATGAAGGGAAGAATTTAAAATTAATTATCCATGACTTCCTGTTTCTGTGATTATGCCAGTCAGTAAAGGCAGAGCTACTCAGTTTAACTGTAATAGAAATAAGCAAAAGGTTTTTAAAGAATAAAAATTTAATAAACAAGACTGGTTGGTGACACCACTAAAGCAACTCAGAAGCTTATTGATGGAAAAGTGAAAGGTGTAGTGATACTCTGAGGTTACAAGGTTTCAATGATATATGTATGATCTATTGCAGGGGTCTTCAACGTTTTTCAGGCCAAGGACCCCTAAACTGATGATGAGGTGGATTTGGGACCCCCTAATTTTATATATTGTATAAAATTGTGTTATATCAAACTGGTCCTATAGTCACTCTATTACAGATGGAGTAATATAATGAAAGTAATTCTGCCCTGGGATTGTTAAAGTATTTCTGATTCTGATTCCTTGTTGATGGGACAGGTGTTGTGAATGAAACAGTGCCCAGCTTGAAAGAGCTCCTGTGTGTTGCTGAATGTGTGCATTGATGACTGAAAGACATCTGCCTCCATTTATCTGTTTACTACAGTGTGTTGGATTCATCTTAATGTGAATTTAAAGACATTTCAATTAGTGAAAAAAACTGCATGGGAGGAATATAAAAAAAGTCTAATCAACCAAAACTTTTGCGACCCCCATGCAGTCCCTCCATGGACCCCATAGGGGTCGGGGACCCCCTGTTGAACACTTCTGATCTATTGTACCCATTAGTGAAATTAGCAGGATTACTTTTATAAGACCAGGTAGGCTACTGCATGACTGATAGACTGCAAAAAATATTAGTTTCTTAACAAGCGTCATTTGAAAGTAATCCACTCAAAAAATATGTAAATAAGTTGACAAACTTATCTGTCCAAAAAGAAAACACCAAAATAGCTGAATATAATATCATAGTTGAATTTGTAAGTCTTTGTGAAACTCTAAAAGTTAAATTATGGTGTGTATGATTTGCTTGTGTGGTAGTCCTTCAGATGTGACAGGAAAAACAAAAAAACAACAACTAAACAATCCTTTCTTTACATGCAGAGACAGCCATCAGCAGTTGTGGCCCTGCAGAGATGTTTTACTAGACTGTGTTGGAACTTGTGGACGGGGAGTGTGCTTTGGTTGGCAGTGAAACGCAGCAGTGCAGGTTTCAGAGCTGCAAAGGCCGGGGGCCACAGTGCTGCTGCTGCAGGTTGTCCGGTAGGGTGCCTGTAGAGCTACACAACACGCTGTTGATGTCAGGAGAAGAGAAGGGGGGGAAACGTGAGGAATGGCTGAAAACCGACGGTGCTCTCCTGCAAGGAAACAAACCAGGACGTAAGATTTCGACTGGTGCTTTTCAAGCTTGAACAGATTGATTCAGGCATTTAGCTTCGTATCAGCGTTTACTGCGCATAGTGATTATTTTCTCAATTTATTGGGAGAGCGAAAACGCAAGGGGGAAAAAACCGCAAGGTAGACTGCCGCTCCTGTCGCCAGCAGAGCTACTTTATGGACTAATACGACATAAACAGGCTGAGAAATGTTTCGCGCTAAGGTCGCGCGCTCGTCCTCGGTGGCCGCGTGAGGTTTTTGAGGCTAGCTAATAGTTCATATGCATATTTTTTTGGCCCGGTTTAGAGCGTGTGTTTGTTGTGGGGACGTTACATTTAGTTTGATAAACACGACGGTTGAAATTCATCCCTCCTTCATGCCTCAACCGAGCCGACCACATGAGAAGTCGACGTCCGGGGTAGAGTAAACCGCAAACAAAGGCCCCCTTCTTCTGCTTCACTGTTTCCACCTGAACCATCCAGGAGAGGGGAGAAACAACAACATGCGTGTGGATTTGTTTTGGATATGTTTGTGGTGCTTCGTTCGTCCAAGTGCCTCCGGTCAAGGGCAGTCGACGGCCGTGTGTTCCCCCTCATGCAGCTGCGATGAAGATGGGGGAGCAGACTGCTCAGGGAGAGGGCTGACCAGCGTCCCAACTGGCCTCAGTACTTTCACCTACTACCTGTAAGTACGAACCACTGTCCACAATGGAGAAAAAAAAAAATGCCTACACACATTTTTGTATATATATATATATATATATATATATATATATATATATATATATATATATATATGTGTGTATATATATGTGTGTGTGCGAGTGTATACTAGTTTCTGTTACAGTTTTTCCATCTTAAGTCAATACACACAGGTATAAGGCGCAATATCACTACAGCAGGACATTTGGGTATTATACAAGAAAAATTATTAATCCTGTTTTCATTGGAGATGGACCAATCAGGGTTTTTTATGTTAGCTGATAACTACAAAAAAATTAACATCAGAACCCACCAAATTACTTAAACGCATATATATATATATATATATATGCATGTGTTCAATAAAGAAATATCAAGGTTTGTTTCACATTGCTACTATGCATATCTGAAATTGATATTGGAAATCTTTCCTATCATCCACAAAACAAAATATATGATTATATTCAGCCTACATCTAGAATCTTTAAACTTATATATATATTTATAAGCATGCTGATAGAAGCATCCTGCTCCAGCAACGCCTGTTTCTTGCACACAGACACATCAGCAGCAGCTGAGTTCTAAACTTGTCATGCACCAGTTCTACTTGTTTATTACACTTTATTGTGAAATTTTAAATTTTTTTCAGAACAGGAACTGGCCAATAAGATCTCAAATAATACCACAAATGGGTATTAAATTCAAAACTAAAGAAAACAAAAAATGTTTTGCCAATTGATATTTGGTTAAAAAACAAACAAACAAAAAACTTGTCAGCGTTGTATCAGCTAATTTCAACTCTACATGGTTGACTGATAGAACAACAGTGGTCATAGGTAGATCTAGGTGTTTACTGTGGGGCTTTTGAGTAGAATGGAAAAGCTCTTGTTTGTTTAATGCCAAAAAATAGGGGAGTCCATCTTGCAGGAGTTGGACTCCAACAAGATTGTTGGAGTTTGAGTGGTACAGACACCTTAGTTTCATAGAAACTAAATCAAGTGGATTACCAAGTAAGTGAGGTGTTTACGCAGTGTTGCTGATACAGTTGATGATTGCCCTGTAGAGTAACAGTTTCACAATCTCTGGGTTAATAAAAAACCAAACCAACCGCCCCTCTGTGAGCTTACGCAAAACAAATTATGACTTTAGGTAAATGACTGATTATTGCAGTGTGTGAGTTGGTTTTATATATACATAATAGTGGAAGCATATTTTTTTATTACAGAAAAGGTTTTTTACATTTGTTAAAATTTCCTATTACAGATTAAGATTGTTGACTCTGGAGTAGATTCACCTAATCTGAGCCATCTGAATATTACTGGGGAAGATTTGAAAACACCTCACTGGAGATGTTTCAGTTAGGCATGCAGCCTAACTCAAAGCCTTAGCTTGGCAGTTGTTATAACCGATCAATTGGGCTTCTAATTAACCAAAAAATTTACCATATTAAATGTTTTTCTGACGTCTCAATTACACCAAGAAGCAGCTATGTCACAAGATAAAATTGTGTCCTTTACAGACTTTCTCTTCAGATTTTATGCATTGTTAAATAAAAGAAAGAGCCTCCGAACCTGTATTTTCTCTTCTTTTTCTACACCTTGATAGATTTAACTACTACACTCCCTAACCGGTCCACCTTAGAGTTTCAAAACATGTGAAAGGTTGTTTGTCCCTGTCTTTGTCTTATGCTCATTTGTTCTCCTGGTCTCTTGAACTTTAGTTGTCCTCTCCCTCTCCCTCGGCCTTTTGTGTGCGGAGTGGTGGGGTTAGGGATCATGATGGATTAGTGTGACATATTGCAGCTGCAAATGCTTGCTCTCTCAGGGCTAATGCACCGGCAGCGGTATGCTGACGTCTTAAAGAAAGACCTCATGCAAAAGTGCTTTGTCTTTACAGTACTTGGAACTTTGCTTGTAGAAAGAGTTTTTCGGGTCAGTGTGCCGCAGGAGTGCGCTAAAACGGTGAAAATTGGCATGAAAACTAAGCCAGTTTGTGCAACAGGATGGGTTGTTATTTTAATGAATCACAAATGCTTCCTTTATTGTGGCTTTAGTATTCAAAATGCAGAGAACTCATGCAGTCACAAGGTTGTGTAATAGATTATTTAGCTGAAAATCCCTTCTTGATTTGTCGGAAAAACCTGCTCATGGAAGACCACACATTTCTGCAATAAATCATTTGACAGTGTTGGCACAAACTCTTACCTGTAGCTCACTTTGGGACTTAGTTTTGGCTGCAGTAGTGGCAACTGCCATGTCACAGAAAAGCAGATTGTGGGGGGAAACAGAGCTGCTCAGCCAATAATAAAGCAAACAATCTTAGTGAGAGAAAGTAGCTTAGTTGTTGCTATCTCTCTGTTGTTTTTTTGTTTTTTTTTGTTAATATAATGATTGCACAAGTTCTTTTCCACATAAAGACATTTTTTTTTTGTAAATAAAGCTAGGAATGAAGGAAAAGCTAAAGGTGGCTTTGGGAGTCTTTCACTTAACTGGTGGAACTTGCAGCCCTCACCATTGGTGCCCTCAGTGCATTTCATCTGAATGATACTTTTGTTCTTAGTCAGTAGAGGTGAAAGGAGCTAGTCAGTAGTTTCTGCCGCAGAGCTGGATGGATGGAGGAATATTAAACTTCCTTAAACTCACTATTTTATGATGTCTTTACTTAAAACCATTTGTTTCAGTTCTCTTGAATCACAATTTAGCTGCAACATATTATGGCTTTCTGGGATTTTATTTTGAATAAAATGTACTCCTGTTTTCGTGATTCCGGCGAGTAAAATATTTGTAAAATTTGAGTGTATTTTAATCTCATATCTGTTCGGCCATTTAAAGAATGATGTCAAATACAATTAAGCAGGTATTTTAAAATAAATATACACCAAATTGTCTGTCTCATGTTTGTGAGGAGCTAAAAAGTCACGCCGGCTATATTTAAGATCAAATCTGTGTTTACAAGGATGTCAGTCAGAATAAGAATTGGCAAAAACCACCTCGTTGTATCGGAATAAAATAAATTTTTTTTGATCAGACTGAATCAGATTAGAATCTTCTGTCTGCGATGTTTACATTAAACATTTATGATCTGATTATTTGACTATGTAATTGTAGCTAGTTTAAATTCAGATGACACAAGTAATGGCATTAATAGAGGTTTTCTTCTACCTGCTTTGAAGCAAACATCTGTTTAGCAAGAGTTTTGGATGCCTCCCTTTTATGAAAAGTATGCAAACTGCTCTTTTTAGGACAAGCATGCAGATACCGTTTCTTTTTCCTCTTACAGTTAGTTTGTGGGACATGCTTTCTTATTTTTAAAGCCATCCAATGTGTTCCTCAACCTTCAGCTTACAGAAGACTAAAGGTTTGAAGCTACAGGAATGGTCATCCAAATGTTATGTTTGCTTTAGTATGGTGTTTAGTATGACGTTCATTGCTTTAGTAAAGACAAAACAGTGTTTGATTAAAAGGTGAAAAAATAAAAGTTTTTGGTAATACATTCATGTATTTGGAATCTTTGGTCGTAGCCACAAACATGGATGCTGCTCCAAAAAATAAAAACTACTCTTTTCTCACATCATTACTTCAGAATACCAGTTACATTAACTAATTCTTCTGACCAATTGCTATTGATGCCCTAATTGAACCAACAGTAAAGACACTGATTCAAACTTTTAAAGGGACAAACGCAATCATTTTTTTTTTCAGTTCACAGATAAAACTGTAAACATATATTCTTTACACAATATTTGGCAATGAAGATTATTAAACTTGTCCTCGAGAATATTGAACAAGTTTATAATTGGCTATTACAAATTTTACAGCTATATGTACCTTTATTTATCTGCTCTACTCAGGCAAGTGAAACTCCTAACAAAAAAAACTCCTAAACATTATAATGAATACAAGAGCTGCTATAGTAAATTCATTTTTAAAACCTTGGTTTTGTGGCGGCCAAGTGGTTAGCAAACAGAGCTTGGAAACCTAAGGTTCTGAGTTCGAACCCCACTCCCACAGACTGCCACTCTGGGTCCTCTGGTCAGCCCACTGCTCCCCAAAGTGTATGGGTTAAATGCAGAGGCAAATGTCTCCAATTTGAGATCAATAAATTTCAGTTATTATTATTATTGGTGTTGCATGTTGTTGTTGTGTGACTTGGACATTTTATGCTGATTTTATTTGATGCCAAGCATCAGTAGATCAGAATAGAAGCTCCAGGATCTTCACTGTCCTGTCAGATGCTTTGCAGTATTTGATCTTGATGCTACAGTACTTTGACACGTTATGTCACAATATGTTAAATCCTTCAGTAAATGCCCATAGAGTCCTGTTGTCTGTCTATTTAAACAAAGTGATAAATAGTCTGTCAGCCTTCGCTGCATCCTGTACCGCATACAGCTGATACTGTTGGTTGTATTAATACAGGAGCTAAGAGCAGATTAGCTTTTAATCACACCATGCTGATACATCAGCAACCTCCAATACCTCAATATATTATAGCCTTTTAGTTCATTTATAAGCATGCAGTAAAATTATTTTTATTTAAGTAATGTGATGTATTTTGCTTAAGGTTTCTAATGGAAATATATATTAAAAAAAGAAAAATGATGAGACACCTTTCCTGCTTGTTACCCCCTTTCATTGAAATCATTTTCTTCCCTTCTTCTTGCAGAGCACCCGTCTCTAAAAACAATCAGAGAAAGTCAGTCCTGTTCTTTTTCACGTGTATTTAACATTTTATTTCACCCAGCAACGTGTCAGTGGGATGGAGATGTGGGAAGGGGAGGTAGTCGGGTGAAGTGGATCCCCAAACATTTTCAGACCTTTGTATCACAGTTAATATGTGGTTGTTACTGAGAAGGGTGTGTTTGCTTCATGCTAGAGATAGACCCATACATCAGCAGATATTTTTGGCTGATGCTCGTGTTGTTTTCTTGTATCAGCATGGGCCGATACCTGCATGCACTCACCAATTCATTAGTAAATTTAGCAGCCATGCCTTGAGATCACTTGAAGCGCTGCATTGCCACTTCCTTCATTTACAATTCGTTGATAATGTTTTATTTTATTTGTTAATACATTTTTCTTTTATTTCTATTTATAGACTTGTTTAACTATGGTAACAATAGTTATTATTGTTTTATTTTTACCATCTAAAAGGAGGAAGCGAAAAGAATAGCGGCCTAAAGAATGAGCCCCTAAAAATCTCCAGCACATTTTGGGGATCAGTTACACTAATGTGAAAATAATCGTCTCTGCATTAGACTTATATAATAGACTTATTAAAACTGTATTGGCTAATCTCTGGTGCATGCCACTCGGGTTCATCCTCCAGATAAGTCAATTCTTCCTGGGAGTTTTGCCTTGTTGTCTTCTTAGATAACAAAAGATCTCTTCCTTGAATAACTCCAATGTATTCCCCTTCTGGTTGTACAACCATAAACTTAGACTGTAGGTGTTTTTGGAGATTTCTTTTAGTATCTTAAATTTTCCTTTCAGGGTGACCTTCCTTGGATGACGAAACATGTACATATCTGCAATTTCTTTTGGACTTTCCTTCTTGTGGACAGTATTCGATACCGTGGAGTGGCTGATTCAAAATTATTTTGTGATTTCTTTAAATTCCCTATTGCAGCCTTTCTAAAGGCTTGCTTTATCTTACCATGTTTTTGCTTTCACTTTAACAGTCATGAGCACACTGTGCCACATGTCTGAGTTTTTAAACAGAAGTAATCTTCAAAAGTAATTGTAATTGGGTGAAAAAAAACACAGCTAACATTTGGAACATTGCATTGATGGTCTAGAGTAGCTGTCTAAAAGTATCATCCTCAGGTACAGTATGTATTTTATTCCAGGCCAATATAGACTCAAATGACACCCTAAGATGTTTATGATACCCATTGAAATTACTATGTAGTGTAGTGTCAACAAATTTTATTTGGTTAATTTATCTGCAAATAGGCACCAGGCTTTTAGCTTGAAATGTGTACGGGCCTGACAACCCTATGTCTTTAAACAGGCTTAACTCTACCCCATCTATATTTGGCACTTAATTGAAGTATTATCATTATGAATTAATGTTTCTTTTTGTGCTTTACTTGGGTAAAACTATGGACAATGATATTGAAAACAGTAAATTGTCATACACCAATGCAGTCATTATTGTGCTTAAAGAGAAACTAACATTAAGACCAAAACAGTACTGTAGAGAGCACAAAAAGACAGTTTTGTACTGTGGATTGCAAAGATATTACTGAAACTCATATATTTTAAATTTTGTGGTTGCTTAATGAAAATGTTTAATTTGCTGCTTAATGGCTTAATTCTTGGATTTCTACATAAGGCTCGATAATGTAAACTAGATCAGTAGTAAAAGCAGATAGGGAGCTAAAAATCAATCAAACAATCCTAAATTTAAACCTATTGGAAGTTACCAAAGTCAGTTGTGGGGTTTTCTTTATAGAGTTCTATAGAGTTTTGGTTTGTATTTGATAAAAGGGTACCAAAAAATTTACCAAACTTGGACTTTAAAACCCCATAATACATAATGACTAGGGTTGGGAATTGATAAGGTTTTCACTATTCCGATTCCCTTATCGATTCTGTAAAACGATTCCTTATTGATTCTCGTCACAGTCATCTAAATCTAATCAAGAAGGCATCCGTTTAATAAAAAAGCATTAATGTACAATTTCGGGAAATAAACTCATCTCCCCCGATTTCAATAAACGAGCGTCACCTTTCTCTCGCTCCCTGAACTGTGGAGCAACTTGGTAGCATGTTTCGTTACATCAATTGCAATAGCTAGAGTCATGTAAGAATTCCAGCTACCAGTAGTTCTAATTAAACATGCTAGCAATGAAGGGCTGGATTAACGAGAAAGGCACACTCCCTTAATAACCCCAAAGAGAGGTAGGAAACTGCTGGTTTCTGGTTTAGAGTTGGAACACATGGAACCGGTTCTGAACAGGAACTGGTTTTCGATTCCCATCCCTAATAATGTCCCTTGATAGTAGGTAACTTTCATTATTGTTAAATATAACCAGGATTCCATCAGTTACAATTAACCCATATTACCTACAGTGACCCCATCATTCTATGTGGAATTTAGACTCTTGGGCTCTCTTTATACAGTTCATGTAGCTAATATATATCATACACTATATAAAATATAGGGAAGAGTAGCAGTAAAAATCCTTTCAGGTGGCCAGTATTATAAATAGAGAAGCAGTGTTTCCCTTATTTCTCACAAAAACTGCATCAGAGAAATCTTTTGGAATTATTATGTAAAATATCGATGGCATTTATCACTTCTGTAGTTTATGGCTTTGCTTTTGAGATGTTTCAGGTTTGCTTGGTGGCTACATGCACCTGGTTTATATCCTACCATTTTTTTCTTGCATACAGCGTCTTACTACAGAAGTGCAGTTTGTCGTAGGCATGATCTGTTGTTCTAGACTGTCGTGCACGTCCCAGTTTTTGTAATGGTCTTCCTTTAGCGTGAGTGGCACTTGTCAAACAAGAAGAGCGACAACTTAGAGTCTAAAAGCACTTTGGTTTTTATATGCATATGCACAGTTGAGTATAAACCCAAAAGGATTCATAGGTATAGATATCTGAAAACTGAAGAACTTTTGAAACGATTACAAAAAAATAAGATTTATTTGTACAGGACCTTTCAAAATAGAGAGGCAATGTGCTTTATGTCACATTTTAAAAAGCAAATAAAATGCATAAAACTATTTAAATATACATTAAACATACTTAGAATCAGTTAAAAGCACATTTGTAGAAAATATATATATATTTTCTAACCATAAAAGCTTGACAACTCAGTGTATTTATTCTGGTTTGAGCACAGAGTAATGACTGGTCAGATGATTCCAGAGGTCACAGGAGTGGAGTGGGGTGGAGCAGGTGTTGTGAGGAGTAAGAGTCTCAGAAATGTTCGATGGGGAGAAAACATTTATTGATTCAATTAAAACTAAACTTAGAATTTACTCTGAACATCAGTATATGGTGAACGTTTATAGATAGAGTTGCATTAGGAATAAACTTTACTTCTGGTGTCAGTTGTTAATACAAGCAGATGGAATCAGCTTTGACATCCAAGGTTTGTAAGTGTAATAAAAAAGGCAGTAACTTGACGTTCAAATACCTTTAAAGACTTTTACCTACCGAAGTCACTCCTGATGGTTTACAATTTATAGCTGCTCATAATGTGATTGCTAATCAATGTATGTGCTGATGTCAAAACATGATGTCTTACATTGTTTGTGGCAGTTACAAAACCTATAATGTTAAATATGCATTCATTTCCCTTCAGATGTAGGTGTGTTGTAAAGCAAACCTTAAATAACACTCACTCAAAAGGGTAATTAAATAACTTTAAAATTGAAGACAAGCCAGTTTTAAAACTGCTAAAGGATTTTTATTTTGACTGTCTGTAAAACTTGTTTTAATGTCTTTACAATAGGTGTGGATGTTTAACTCGGGCCTCTGCCTTAGAGTTTCAGTTTTTTTTAAAGCATGCCTCACTCTCCCAGATTATCCGCTGCTTCCTCGCTAAAATAAATCCAAAGGGCACATGGGATAGGAATTTGCAGATACCTGTTTGTGGAAGCATTTAAGCCTGTCACTATTTATCACCGCTGTATTTCGGTGTCCTCTTGAAATCAGGCTTAGCAGGGACAGGCCAGGACCTTGATGAGTAAAGCAGCAGGCACAGAGGCGGGAGGAAGAGTGATAGAGTCATTCACCATAAGCCCTTCATTTGGTTTAGACATCTAAACAATCTGTGTATAACTTGGAGGAAAATACAGTGAGGAATGAGGAATGTACCCAATTGACCACTAGCAGTTTAATGAAACATTGCTTACAGCTCACCACCAATGGAGGAGACAAGGTAGAAAGAAGACCATAGTGGGGTTTGGGGGGGAGCTAGATGTTGATGGAAAAGTTGTAGCTGAACAGGCTGTAGGGTAATTGAATCTCCAGGTAAGTGGAGATGAGACATAGGTTGCTGAGATGGTGAGGGTCCTGTCAGGGTGTACCTCTTAAAACCTGTGGGTTTGTTTGTGCATATATGTCTGTGTGTGTATTTGGATCTGCGGGGAAAGAGCAACGTGATCCATGTAGGATTCAGGGGCCCACACACAAGGTCCGATAGAGATCTGGCAGTGAAACTCAAGATGGTCAGTTTGGAAGTGAAAAAAAGAAGAAGAGTTCAGAGGGTTCCTTAATTTAAAAATCTTGTATTTTTCTGTTCTTTGGTTTTATTTTTTCTCTCCTTGTCATGATATTCTAACATCTTTATATCTTGGTATGTTGGGGTCTTTTCTTTAGACCAGGTGAGGGAATTCATTCTAATCAAGATGAAACATTCAGGCTTGAATTTGCCCTCATAGTATTCCTCTCAACCCCAGGAGGCATGATGGCAGCATTCTGCTGCATTTATCCTTACATTTTACTATCATTAGAGGCTAGAGAAGAAGTAAGGTATTTTACAAGTTTTGTACAAATTTAAACACATATATTCATAGTGGATTCAATAGGGAAGTACATCAAGTACCATGTGCATACTTTTCATGCTGCTACATGTCTGTTTTTACTTGTTGATTTAAAAAAAAAAATGAAGATCCTTTAGGCTAAATAGAAGGGCTTTTTTCATGGTTTTCTTTTTCTATAGTTTAAAGCAATAGTAGTATTTAGTTTTTTTTTGGTGGATTTAACCATTATATAAAGTATTATTTGATGGGATTTCTAAAATAAATGCTGAAACACTGGTAAAGGAGAATTTGGTACATTTTATTCATTGCCGACAGGTTAAAAAATATATATATTAGTAAGATAGCATTTGAAGCATCATCAATATCTTCCACTAAATTTGTGTTTCTTTGTTGTTGTTTTTTTCTCCACAGTGATCTGAGTATGAACAACATCACTGAGCTTCCAGCATATGTTTTCAAGAACTTCCCCTACCTAGAAGAACTGTGAGTACTTTGTTTATCGTGTTAAAGATGTATTTACTCTCAACGATGTTGACAAGAGGGCTGATCGTTATGAAACGCACCTGGGTATTTAAATTAGCATTATAAAACCCACTGCATCAGTGTAGAGCATTCCCTCCTGCTCAGGTGTGGAAAACATGCAGGAGGCAACAAATCACTCAACACTGATGAACTGAGCCAGGGAGGTTATAAAGCATGTAATACAGCTCAGGTAAAAAAAAAGCATTGCAAGGTAACTGGCATTAAAGCAGCAGCCATGTAACATCCGGCGTGAATTTTTCGCTTTTAAGGGATTATGAGGGTAGAAACAAAAACATCTGTGCGCATGGACCTTGTTGAATGGGCATAAATCTAATCTAGGTGGATGTTTTTTCTTTGCTCCTAAAATACCTCAGTGTCTGCTGTGATTCGAAGATAAAAATCTGTCTGCCTGATATCAGGTAACACGCAACCCACAAAATGACCAATGAATTAAAATTCTCCAGAGCCTCCTGCTCTACCTGGCTTTTGTAAGGATGTTTTTACAGCTCTGGTGCATCTTTCAGTCTTCAATGCTTCTTTTTCTTACACCAATTCAGTCCGCTTTGTTGAAAACCAATTTAGTTTTCATCGCATTGTGTATTGGAATGCAAGGCAGGAAGGAACAGGGCAAAACAATGGTTTCCATCGCAACACTACTTAAAAACTCGCCCAATTTCTCCACGACCAGTGTCTTCTCCAAACTCATCAAAACTGATGAACTGAATGACCTAAACCCTTAGTCAAATTGTGTTTGCTTAATCTTTTTTTTCCTTCTCTGAGAAAAAATCAGAAGACTTGTCTGTCCTAACTTTGTGGAGGACTTTTTGGCTTTAGGTCTTCGGCATTGTCAGTGATCCAGAGCATAGGCCCTAAGGGTAAAACCAGAGCAAGCTGACAGCAAAATAAGGAAAAAAAAACATGCAGGCCATCCTTAGACTGGGAGGTGAAAAGAGAAAAGAAATATTCCCGCTTCTTAGTCACGCAATCTCTTTTGCTGAATGCCCAGAAGATCAACAGACTTGATGACAGAGATATTGTCTGTCTCTTTCTGCAGTTTGTTTATATCCTAAACGGTAACCTGTGATTGATAGTCCTATCTATGTAGCAATCAGGCCCTTATTTCACAAGTGTCTGCCTCGGTTTTATTCAGCCTTTTTTTTTCTAATACATTTAGAAATATTATTTTTTTTTTCTAAGTATTTAACTAATTATAATTTAAAATTTGTAGTCACTACATTTAAAGGAACATGTACTTGTGCTTATAAAAAGATTAATTTTCTGCATTGAAATTTTATTAGACCCCACAAGTGTTTTTAAACTTTTGGTAAACTTTTATCTGTATTGTAAAACACTTTTTTGCTCGATTGAATTATAACATAAAATTACAGTCATACACATTTTTAGTAGTGAATTATCTTATCTACGAAATGTGCTTTTGAAAAGAATTTATACACTCAGAACTTGGAACCTTTAGATGGCCCTGCACAAAGATGTACAAAACTGAGTAGTATAAACGGCGTAGTATAAATATACCCTATTTATTATTGGTATTTGGTAAATTGTAAGTAGGGTATATTATTAATTAAAACATATATATTTTAGAAATTGAAATCTGAAAATTGCAGTTTGTATATGGGTTTTATCACCAAGTTTGTCTTTTTATGTAAGAGTGACCATTGGAAAATGTAAAAAAAAAGTAAATGTAAGATTTTAAGATTACCACAAGATTAAATGTATTTAAGTTTATTTATATATTTCATCTTAAGGCACTTTACAGAGTCCAACCAAAATATGCAAACATTTTTTATTTTAAGGAATCCCAGCTGTTCGCATCGATTCTTTGACTCACAGAAATAACTCCTCCTTGCTTATAAAATTGCATTGAAAATATTGACTCCAGGGGCCCAATGCATACTCAAGCTACACTTTTTAAACAATTTTTAAAACTTTGAAAACCACATATTACTTTTCTTCTATTTCAAATCCACAGCTGATTAAAATAATGACTGAAAACTGTAGTAATAAAGTGACAAAATATTCAAAAAAATTAAAGAGGTGTAAATTAGGGCTGAATTATTAGTAAAGGGATTCTAAGAGATGCAATTAGCTCAGAGCAGTTATTATGCCAAAATAAAATATTAAAAGATTCTTCATTTAAGTTGAATACCTTTTCATCTAATAATTCACATGATAATCAATCAGCAGAATGAGTATTAGTTGCAGCCCTAGTGTAAATATGTTTGCAAAATAGTTTTAAGTTTACATCTAAAAACCACGAACCTCTACATTCTCCTGTCTGGTACATATCTGAAGCCAAGCGTCATTACAGAAAAATTACACATAAGAATGGAAGTGGTACAGATCCCTTCATCATCTGTGTCACATGCTCCATGTGTCTTGTACATGTAGAAAGGCATTGATAAGGTGTATTTGTGAGGTGCAGTTATGTTTTTTATTTGTTTTTAGTGATGTTTTAAAGAAAAAAAAGGTTAAAATTCAAGTGTTACTAAACTTTTACTGAAAGGTAGACCTGTTGGGGGGTTGCACAACTAGACGAGTCTGCCTCTGCTTCTCAACAGCAATGAAAGAGCCTGGAGCAACAGGTGATAAATCTGCTAAAGGTTTACGAGGAAATGCACTTTCGGTTATGAAACCCGTAGGCTAGTCGAAGTATTTTTTCAAACCATGTTTGTTTGTGCTTTTTTACAATTAAAAAACTACAAACTAGGATCTATTTCAGGCTATGGCACATTTTTATATGCGTCTCTTTAAGGATGATGGTTTTCATAAATTTGGGTTTGATTCTTACTTTAAGACATTGACTGTTCACTAATTATAATTTAAAAGAGCAAAAGCTGCGTATATGTTTTAATGTTTGTGTGTTCTCAGTTTTGTAATTGGAACTGTTTAATGTAAATTGATAACCTGGTTGTGAGTGTTAACAACATGAAATAATTCAAGTCTGAGTGGTTAAATTGACATTTTTGCATGTAGGCTTTGATAAAACTCGGACCTTTTTTTTAATAACATGGGTAAATTTATAAAAGAAAATAATCAAAGGATAGCTGAGATTAAATGTTATATCCATCAATTTTAAGATATCCTGACTTGGATTGCAATGGCAATTCCCCATGCAATTTTTATAAAAAAAATTTTGTGCAGAGGAAAATGGCACACAAAAAAAGCAATCAACTTTGTTTAATATCATCTCATTTTTTAATCCTTGAAAGGTTTTCTCAGTTTATTTAGTTTTTATTGGAAAAAAACCCTTAGTTAACTATATTTACTTTGTATTGCATGCATACCTTGTGCTTTGTATATGTCTTAAGAGTATTAACAAGCAATCATAATAAAACAAGACTATTTTTATACACTATATGAAAAAGAGCAGGAATATTAAAAATGAGCTCTGAACCTGATTTGATATAGCCACTTAGAAAAAAAGAATCACTGTGATATTAGTCACATACGAACATTTTTCAAAAGCTCAGTTCTGTTTTTATGTTTTCAGACCTCTTAATGTATGGGGTCCTCCAGCACATGCACTTAAAAGGATGCAGTGTTTCAGTATTTGTTCATGGTGCTAAAGCAAAGAAAAAAAAATAAATAAAAACAACTCGATTTGAATATCCAAGAATAGATATGTTGCACTCTCAAGCTCCAGGCCAGGGTTAGTAATTTCTCACACCTACTGGTGCTCTTACACGGACGGTTCTGATTCTCAGCCTCACACATAGCAGCTCTTGTTGCTGGGAACTCAGCCTGGTCTGACTCATGTTGCACGGTGATAAATCTGCTGCTAATCTCTCAGGCAAGATAGCGCACTTGGGCTCCATGTCCCAGTCAGCTTGTCCCATGCTTATTTACACCCTGGTTTCCTATTTACTTCCTGTTCCCAGCAGGAAAGGGAGGTGTCCCGTCTCGCTTAAATAATTTTGACATGCACTGAAGCAGCTGTCTGATGATAACTGTTTCAGGGGAATATAGTTGTGTAAGTCTAAGTTGGGTGAATTATTATTATTATTATTATTATTTTTTACTGTTCTTTTAATAAGAAGACCAAATATTGAAGTTGCATTAGCTTAAAATTGATCTATGGAGATGGATATTTGTGGGTATGTCTAAAGTAGGGCATACACTGTGCGATTATTTTTTTTTTTTAATCGCTGCACGCAGCTAATGCTCACACTGTGCGTCGAAACCACAAGGTTTCGTCATACAGTGTGAGTTTACAGCTCACGATGCATGTTCAGCCAGACGCCTGATGCGATCTACCTCCTCACACTGTACATAAAAAAAAAAAAATCCCAGATCGGACTCTGCTCCGCAGTGAGATTGCGTTACTCTGACTCGTGTATCCGGAAGCCAAATGAGTAGAGGAGGAATATGTAGCTCGCTAGAGTAAAACATGCTGCCTTGGCAATTTGTGCGATTTTGTGCTGAAAGCCCTAAAAAGAAAAGGCGACGACGTATTTGGACAAAGACATGGCTGAGCAAACATTGCTACTACGGTCTGTCAATTTTACAGAAAGAATTCCATTTCACTCGCACCCAAGCCATGCTTCTGTGTTTACATCTGAGAGGAAGAAGAAAAAGAAGAATCCTTCTTTGCTCACTGAGCGATTTGCCCACGACGGTCGGTCCCGACCTCACATTTCTTGATCGGGAGGTTGTCGTTAGAGGCTGATCGCCCCTCGTTACCTCATGTACACTACACGGAGTAGGCTGAAAGGCGAAAAATTCTCACACGACTGGAAAGTCGCCCGAAAAAAGGGCAAAAAATCGCACAGTCTATGCCCTGATTTATGTTTGATGAGTGACAGACAAATAACTATTTCCCACTGGCCGCAGAACCGTTTAAAACCGGGAACAATCAGGTTTTAGTGACGGTGAACACAGCTCACTGACCTGAGTCAAACAACTGCAGACACATCCGACCCGGGTCGACCCGCTAATTTACGCGATACCATTTAACGCAACATATGGACGTCAACACACTGTGCCGGTTGTGTCTGATGTAACAAGCCTAAGAAACTCTGCTTACATTCGTTAAACATGGCGTAGAGCTGGTAAGAGAGATTTGGAGGGATAAAAGAATGAAACAAAGCCCACTGACTATGCGGCGACTCACTTGTTAGTGGGTCAACCTGTGTTTGAAAAACAGGCGTTAACCCGCTAATTTCAGTGGGAATGAGGCTAAAGTGTTGACAGGCCATTGCAAAGACACATGTCTATGAGCCCTTGGGCTCCATAATCAGTTTGAGAGCCGGAATTTAAGCTTCCCAGAGGATTCGCGTGCAGTTTTCAATCCAAAGTAATGCTTGGTTAAAATTTATTTTTTCCTTACAGTTTCTATACAGATATATCAAATTTGCTGGAGATTGTTCATAGAACTTGTGAAATGTGTTTTATCTCAATGATAAGGTGCAATTTTGATTCTTTATCTTCCTTCAGACGACTCGCTGGGAATGACCTGACATTCATCCACCCTGACGCCCTGTCTGGTCTGCATCAGCTCAAAGTTCTGTAAGCACGCACCCTCCCTGCCAATGCACACACTGTTCTACACACAGACTCACAAATATGGGAATGCAAATTTTTCCACATAAATGCGTTTACATAGCGAAGCTTGCTAGAACATGGTATCCTCATTAAATCTTTTGGAATGGACTTAATATAGTTTTTCATATGAGCCCAAAACTCACCAACAGAGAAGTAAGTGTAAGTTCTCCTCTAACTTTTGTACTGCATCAGCCAGGTTGCGTCAGACTAATTGTGTACATATTTGTATGGCTCGAAAGACAAACAAAGTCAAATTTTCTGTTAACTTTCCATCAAGCACAAGGGTCATATTCTTGTTTTCTTCAACAACAGCATTAGATTGCAGTTGCATGTATTTATTCGTTGAGCTTTCACCTACAAAACAAAATATAATAAAAAATTTTTTTACAAAAGGTTCAAACACTTTATGACATATTAAGTCTTAAAATACCTTCTCTGAATATGTGGTATTAAAATGTTTCTCTGACCTGTTTTTATTTTTAAAATTTCAGAATGCTGCAAAATAATCAACTGAAATCTGTACCCAGCACAGCACTAAAAAACCTTCACTCGCTTCAGTCTCTGTAAGTTTTTCTTGTTAAAACATGCATTTATGTGATATTTACAATTATTTATGCTTTTTTTTTGGGGGGTGGGAGTGACTGCAAGATTGATGCTTTCTGTCCTGCTTTAATGCAATAAAAGCTACTCAATGTTGTTTCAAAAGCAGAGCATGGTTTATAATTATATGCACCCCCCAAAAGGAAATCTCTCCTTTTAACAGCAAAAATGTGATACTTTTATTTACAGAGCTCAATTAACATGTTACATAACCCTCTATCCAAAGTGAGGATCTATTCTTCCATCTAATTTTCCAGTAGACCAACATCCAAAGAGCAAAGGCAACACCAAATTTGATACAGTAGAACAGTTTATCTACTTATACATGTAAAGATCTAAACGTCGGCTGCTGTGAATTTACCTAACAAATATATGCAAAACTAGCTCTATAGACAGCATATCTGAACTGTTAGTTTAGGGTTATAAAGGGCAGCTACACTGTACTGAAGGCATGCATAGAGCCTGTCTTGGTGCTGTTGCTTTGAGTGTCAGATAAGGCTCTGCTCATTCTCTCTCGCAGCTGATGACATTCCTCTGCTGTTGCCACCTTCCATATTGGGTGGTTAGACTCTGATTAACATTTAAAAATCCATGTTATTGTGTCCTCCCCTGTGCATTGCTGACTGGTGATATCAGATCTGCAGCAGCAGTACCCGATGATTATCTCTCTGATTGGCCCAGTACTTCTGCTGTGCTTTGTATTAAGTGTTGATTTTACAAATCTGTTTAAACAGTCTGATTCTACTTCCAGCGAAGACAAAATGTCCCATTAAGTGGTAAAAACACACATTTTAGCCTCCAAAGTCTAATATGCTTACACATAAGAAATGGATATTTTTTGTGCTCTTTTTCAGTTTATTTCAGCTGTAAATTGTCAGCATTCACAGCTTCCTCTCTGATTTGATTTTATACAAGATACCATTTACATTGACAGGGAGGTGTAGAATAATCCAGCTGTCGAAATGTGATAAAAATGCATTTTTCTTTTTTTTTTTTCTCTCCTTGTACTTTGCAACTCATTTTCTTTTTTGAGTTGTTCTTCAGTGTTTTCAACTGATGCTTTGTTCATTTTAAATGTCTTTCCCTAAAGAAATATGCTACGGTAAAAGAAAGGCTTAGTTTGTTTTAAGCCTGAGATAGCTGCATGTCAATCAAGATTGTTTTTTCTTCCAGCACAGATACTTGAGGAATTTGGAGGGAGGGTAAGACACTCAGTTGAGGAGGAGAGCAGGACAAAACTGTGTTCTTCAACGGAAAATAACACTTAGGCTTTCTTTTATTGGTTAAATAAAGACTATCAGTCATCCTCAAGGCAATTTTTGTCCATCTCAAAATATTGGTAATTAATTTAGCTTTTTGTCTCATTTAAGTGTAAATTGAATTCAGTGCTTTTAAAATATGTTATTTTCCCATTGACATATTAAGATTTATCATAATTAAGACTAACAAGTGGACAGTTGTCTGTTTCTGAATTTGATGGCCCATGGTGAATTGCTCAAGGGTTGGGCAATATGGCCCAAAGATTAAATCTCAGATTTCTTAGTTTTTAATTTGATTTATGATTTTTTTCCAGATTTTATTTTATCTTTCACCCCCCTAATTATAAAGGAAAACAATAAATACAAATGGGGGAGCAGGTCTTTGGCTATGTGACCCTTCTCCTTTTGTGCATATGTATGTGTGCATATGTGCTTTGCGCAAAAGATTCGACTATCTGCTATATCAGCTATCTGGACCGGGAACCTTGTGTAATAGAAATTAAACCTGCTTTGACCCCTGTCATAAAATAAATTTCAAAGCAAGTGATTTTTGTCATCCGGATTAAAATATTCAAGCAGGGCTAAAGAATATTTTATGAATTCAATTTGAGCTAATTTCATTTAGAAGCATCAGGGTCAAATTTTGACTTTTAAGTCTCTCTGTTTGAAGGATTTTTTAAAACTGCAAATAGGTCATTATAATGAGTTGTCATGAGCATATCAATAAAATGAAATTACACATTTATTACTGGATTTCAGGGCCAAAGATATTAAAAACAATCATGTTTTTTAAATATCACCTCAATTTCGATCCACTTCTTTTTTCTGTATGTTCTCTATCTGCAGTCGTCTGGATGCAAACCACATTACAACCGTTCCTGACGAAAGCTTCGAAGGTCTCCAACAGCTTCGCCACCTTTGGCTTGATGACAACCACCTGACCGAGGTCCCTGTCACTTCCCTGAGACACCAGTCAAACCTCCAAGCTCTGACTCTGGCACTGAACCGCATCTTGTATATCCCAGACAACGCCTTCAGAAACCTGACTAGTCTGGTGGTGCTGTAAGTCTTAAGCTTCTGGTTTGATTGTGGTTTAGGATATGAATGTTCAGTGTTGCATTAAGAGTTTACAATATGATTGACTCATTTCTCTGGAGAGTTAGCCTTAGTGCAGGGCGTGTACAGAGGAACATAACCACCAAACCATGAGGTCCAATTGGCTATAAATGATGGTTTCCTCAGCAAAGGCTATTAAAAACCAACCTTGAAGTAACAACACCATGGACTATTTCATTATAATCCGGAAGTGAAAAGAAGAAAAGGCCAGTAATCTGGTTAATATTGAATTTAGAAATGTCTTAATCAAAAATAGTCCCAAGTTACCAAATGTAATATCATTCAAATAAGGTGATTAAGGATTTACTCCTCAAAGACTCAAGTCGAAAGACAACAAACAAGTCTTCACTTAATTTAAAAACGGAAGCAGGTTAGATTCATCTTTATGGAGAAACAAAACTGAATAGCCCCAGCTTAACAGTGGAAGGTTATCCCATACTGTCTGATCATTTCACCTATTGAAAGCATGTTCATAGTCAAGACAATTGGCCCAAGAACTGATCTTTGTGGTACTCAACAAGTACCTCTGGAATATAATGATTGATCATTAACAAACAAATTGAAATTTGAAAAATAGGACAATTAAACAACCTAGTACTGTTCCATAAATTCCTAAAGGATGTTCAAGCCTTTTCAAGAGAAGATTGCAATAAAATCTATCTAATACAAGGAGAAAAATCCCTGATAGGAGGGATTTGATGTATCATAACTTAGGTAAACATTTATAAAAATGTACGTAATGTTTTAGAGTTGAAAAAATACTATTTTTTATTCCTTTGTAAATCATTATTCCCCTTTTCTTTATATTACCAGGAGTAAAATCAGATGGATGTTTTTGCAAGACTAAAATATTAGAAATTTGTAAGATTCTAAAGTGTCAGGGAGGTATTTGAAGATTTGTTGAGACTATGTTCAACAGGCAGATGATTAAAGTCGTAGGGAAGCGGCTGTTCCAACCCTTACATTTCCGAATTCTCCCAAGTGGTGCCTGACTTTAGTGAATATAGTGAATGTGATTGGTCGATTATTAAGGGGGCGGGATTTTTGTGGCGGAAGGTTCGCAAGCAAGTTTGGTTGTGGCCGGTTTGTCTGAAGCATCTTGCTAACAGTTAGCAACTATGTGCTAGTAGGTTCCCAATGGGAATATCCATTGGGACCAAGTAGCAGTAAATTGGTGACCTAGAAGCGACACTGTCAAGGAACGTTATGGACAGCTGAAAAATGCAAGAGGAGGAGAGTTTTGTGTCGGAGGTTGTGGATGAGTCTCCGTCATACATTTTTTATTTAAAGGAGGAAAGCGGGGACAAAGTTGTTGTGGAAGGGGATGCAAGGACGGCAGTTAGCTTTGTTAGATTTAGAAAGCTTACAGTCGTACATGTTTGAGACTTTGCCTCGCAATGCTGCCAGTTTTGTTGGCTCTACACCTGCCGAAGATACAGACGTCCATCCCCGTGAACACTGGGACGTAACTCAATGATTCTTATTTGTTATTTGTTGCATATATTAGCTGCGAAATATGAATTGAGATACTATGACCGAAAAAATTGACTGTTGATATATGATTGGCCCAATTTAGGTAAACAAGTTGACGTATAATTAACTGGCCTGCATAAAATAACAGGAAAAAAAACACAGATTTTAAGACAGTTTTTTAAAAAAAAATAGATATTTCTAACTTTTTGGACAATATGGTCTGATAAAGAGTACATTTATATACATGTTTAAGCAACAATGATTTGACATTTAAATATGACTTCTCTACGACTTTAAAAGTTAAGCCTCAAAATGCTTAACCCTCTACTAGATTGTTTAGATTCAAAATTGTTTTTGTTCAAGAGGTTTGTTTCTGATGAGAGTCTGACATTCCTCAAATCATAATCGAGATATGAAATAAGAGGAATAATTCATCTAAGAAATGTCCAAACTTATTTGTATCCCTTTTAATATGCTTCAAAAAAGTCAGCAGACATTTCTTAATTAGCAATGAAGAAGTAAGACATGTATTTTCCTCCCATATTTACATAATAAAAACAACATAACAAAGCTTTGTTAAAATCATTTTCCTTTTGTAAAGTATTTTTTCTTAAGGTTTCTACCCATGTTTTGCTGTTTTTTTCCCATGCAGACACATTTGAGGCTAAACATGCCTTTTTTGTTGTTGTTTTATTTTTTTATTTCTATTTCTGACATTGAAAAAGTTAACATTAGAAGCTGTTGCTTAGCCTCTATCAGTGATATAAGCTTAATTTTATCGATTGAGAGAAAAGCTCCACCTTCCAAGTGGAAATCTTGTGTTAGTTTCGGGGTGATTTCACCAAAGTTGTTATTGCTGTTTCACATTTGCATAAACAAAAACACACACGCACCCATGCACACAGAGTGGTACTGGTGAAGGTTTCTATAAACATGTCAGAATAAACAGGAAGAAAAGAGCTGAATTTATTAGTGAGCTCAGCTCTGCTGCTTAGAACAGATACAGTGCAGGCACTCCATTCACTTAGCATGTTGCACGTAGATAATATTTCTACTAATGTTCTAATGTATGCAAGTATGTGAGTAGTAAATATTTGACTATGTTTGAATATTTCACATATAAACTCAATTTGTGTTTCTAGGCATCTTCATAACAACCAAATTAAGGAGATAGGAGCCAACTGTTTTGCTGGATTGGTGAATCTGGAGACGCTGTAAGTCCACAGCTATTCAGTGTTTTGTTTATGTGTGTGTGCAGATGTATACTTGCATGTCTGTGCGTGTTTATGTATCAGTTTAAGTCAGTTTGGGTTTTTGGACTCTAGTTTGTATGTGCCAACAGCTCCCCCGCCCACCTCTGCTGCAGTCCCCCAGACATCATTGTGTCCACTTCCTCCTTTAATTGCTCTAGGATAAATAGAGCAAAGTACATGATGCTTATCAAAATTTCCCTCCCAACTGTTCACTTCCTACTGCTTCACAGCCTAGTGGAAAAGCTACTGATGCTCAGTTTCCTGAACGGTCAGCTGATCACTCTGAAATTCAACCTTTCCTCTGACGTCTTGACAAAAATCAGCGATATTCATTGTAGATTACGGTTTTGTTAAAAGTTGCATTGCAGCGCATTTGAACAATATGGTTGTTGGTGCTGATGTCTTGAAATGCACTCTGCATGTTCTGCTTCTTTTTTTGCATCAAATATAACAAATCTCCCACTTAGATATTTTATATCATTGTGAGCAGATTCATACCCGACATTTTGGAGCCTGTTGCAGTAAAAACAATAGAGACATGTCTTATCTGCCTTGACAACAGGCGTTTGGAAGCAGTTTTCTGTTTTTCAGCTCTTAGTCTTATATAAGACTGGTTTTTATAAGTTCCATACATAATATCATGTAACCCAACAAAGTTATTCTAGTTTGATCAGAGAAGAGCTGTGCAATACTAGAAACAAAGAACAGAAATAATACTGATAACTAATATCTTTAATAATATTGGTTGCACTTAATTTCTAGGCAGCTTAAATCAGGTGTTGTTATCGGTACGGCCTGGGCCAAAAAAAGTTGAAGTCATTAAATTACCAAAGTTCATCAAAATACATAAGAAACAAGCAAAATAAGACAAAAACTAATTTGTTAGCAGGAACCAAATAAAGACAGATTTGAGTTTTATGATGTTTTTTAACAGAAAAGTTAATAAATGACTTGGAATCTTATGGAAGCTTTTTGTAGTGATAATTAATAAACATAATGCTTGTTTTTTTTTCTTTGAAATCTTGCAACTTTTTGTTGCCTTGATACAAAAAACAACTCTTAACTTAACACTGTGTTGGGGAACCAATTTATCTATTATCATTGATTCAATGGTCAATCTGCATTAAGGTTAGTAGTATAATTCCTGTAATGATAATTAATGAAAGGAACTTTAAACTTCCTCCATCCTTTCATAGTCTTTTTATTTACGTTTGGGCTATCTTTGACTTTTCCAATAATCAAGAACATGATTAATTTCATTTTTCTCATTCTACAGCTCTCTGTAACGCTCTCTGTTTCTGCTTTTGTTTTGTTTAGAGATCTTAATTTTAACAACCTGAAGGAGTTTCCCAAAGCAATACAAGCCTTGCCCAAACTGAAGGAACTGTAAGTATGAAGCGATTAAAGATTAGGCCTATTCAAGTTATGGCTAATGCCATATCCTATGTTGTGTATATGTTAGAAATGACAAGTATTTGTACTTGAAGTTTTACATTTGAAAAGTATAAAACTTTAGTGCAAAGGGGAGTGTTGGCTTAGTGGTTAAAGCATTGCTCTTGTGCTCTGAGAAGGTTGCAAGTACCTGGTTCAATCCCCACAGACTGCCTCTCTGGGCAAGACCCTTAACCTCCGATTGCTCCCTGGGCGCCACACAATGGCAGCCCACTGCTCCCCAAGGGGAAGGGTAAAATGTCGAGGTAAATTTCACCTGTGTGAGATCAATAAAGTTCAACAAAAAAACAGAAGAGGCCGAGCCATATGAAAGGTTATAGTCACATATTTACAGAATTCATATCAGTGTTGCTTAAATGTATTTAGTTCAAGGTTTTTTAGCAGTTTTCCATTTTCTATACACATATTCAAATTGTCTTTTTATCACACAAATTTAATACAAATACAAAATTGTGTTTCGTGTTATTCTATGTAACAGAGGGATAAGACTGCATGTAAAGCTAGCCTTAGGTGAAAAGTAATTGTCTTCATTGCAAAATCATCATTTTAGGCCTAGGAAGTTTTGCATGGAAATGAGCATAAACTGCTTAATTTTCTACCAAATATTTCTAAAACGTTATTGTTTATGTAAAAAAAACAAAAAAAAACACGAATTGCTTTTTTGTAAAAATCTAAATTTAAGGATCTTAATATAAGTGTTTTAGATGTTAAAAAGAGAGTTAAGAAACTGTTGATTTTCTTTTTTTTTTAGTTTCTAAAGTAATATTTGCAAGTTTGTTCTCTTGTTTGGTCTTAATTTAAATCATCTAATTGAACTTAATGTATTTTCTTAATGTTAGTTTTGGTCTTATCTGCTATGTTGCCTTTGTCACATTAACCTACCACTGGAGATAAGCATCTAATCGCTGCCCCTTCACTTTCCTCTTGCAGCGGGTTTCACAGCAATGATATTGCTGCAATTCCAGAAGGGGCCTTTCACAACAACCCCATGCTACGAACCATGTAAGGTCAAACTCACACTGTGGACAAGCCTGCATGTGTTGTTTTTTTATTTTTTAAGGATACAAGTTTAGGCACAGAATGAATGTCCAGAAGATGGTGCCATACTCATTGTGCTCTCCCCTTTATTTTTGGCCTCATTTCAGACATCTTTATGACAACCCGCTGTCATTTGTGGGTGCTTCAGCCTTCCAAAATCTCTCAGATCTGCACTCCCTGTAAGTCTTACTTTAGACCACAAGTCAACATCTCTCCGACCTCCTCAGTGCAACTGTGACTAAAGCAAACTATGTGTGCTCTACAGCACCCCTAACTAATACTACAGCTTTAAGAAGATGCATTCTAGTATTTATTAAATGTGTCTTGCAGGATGTTACGTGGTGCCAGTTTGATGAAGGACTTCCCTATTCTCACATTGACTAATAATCTGGAGAGTCTGTAAGTGAAAAGTAAAATATTGTCTTATCCTTTCCCTGCTTTTGGTTATTTGTTTGTCAGATGATAATATCCAGCAACTTGTTTGTTTTTTTTACCTGTAGGACTCTCTCTGGTACCAAGATATCATCCATACCCACCAATCTGTGTGAAGATCTCAGGTTGCTTCAGACACTGTAAGGGAATCTTCCAGTTGTAACCTTTGGCATGTTGTTAGAGCTAAGAAATGAAACAATCATCATAACATATATATTTTTTTGCATTTGCAAAAAACAAGTACATTCTAATTAAAATTGGAGCTCAGCATTCCAAAAGTCCATTAGACCAACAGCCTTGCAGTTACATGTTTTGCTGATATGCTGCAGCCTTACTTCATGAATACCTCATTTGGACTGACAGCAGGGGGTCCATTAACTCCTAAATGAGTAGTTCCAGTGTCAGTGTAAATCACATCATTCAGTCTGGCTTTCAGGGCATGCTCTGAATTCCTCCTGTTCCCATTCGCTTCAGCTTGCTACTTCAGGTTATTGTGTGTAAATCTTGATGTTAATCTGGTCACAGTGGTGCTTCTCAATAGTAAGATTATTTCAATTCATAACATGAAACCAAATGATTATGTTTTTGCCAGATAATGGAAAAGTGGCTTGCTGCTATTGTACAATTAGCCTGTTGGTTTACAGCAGTAAAAAGAAAAGCATTATTTATTATTTCAACTGAAAAATACCCTTTGCCAAAACCCATCCCACTATGTTGGGAGACCATAAGGAAAACTTAAGGTAAAGTAAAAGTTGTGACAGTGTAGCATCTAAGGTAAGCATTTCTTCCTGGCTTCTGGAAGGTCGTAGAAGTCATAAAGTCCTAAATTTGATCTTTTTTATGCCTTAAATGTTTGAAATACATCCTTATTTTCAATTTTGTGTCCTAAAAATCTGTATTCTTTTTAGAATTTCAATCTTCTTTCCCCCACCTTCCTTTTTTAAATGAATTGTTTCTGTAATTTGTAGTTTTGACTGAGGATTTCAGGTGTTGTTATGCTGTGACTAAATTACAAATCCCATGATGAAGGAAAGCCGCTGAAAGGAATTTAACTCCAGACTATCTGCCCTCCACAGCACCTGTAAAATGATTCTGCTATTTTAATGATCATGATCATGATCATGTTCATTAAAATATTCTTGTTACATTTTCCAATACCAGTTCCATCACCACATGAAAATAATATTTGTAGAGAATTTCTCTTTCCCAAAGCTTTTTGTCATTTCCATTAGACTTAGGGACCAATTTGTTAGCCAAAGTGTTGAAAAACACCACAATAACTCAATAACTGGTTGTAGCTGTTAAGGAAGGACATTTCTGGAAATTCTTTGTGTTAGGGTTATGTTTTATAATTCAAGTTCTAAGAATTTGATGTTAAAAACATTGCTTTTATTTTACAAAATGATGAATTGCCTCCTCCTAAGATACAGGAAAACCGATGCACATAATTAGACTGTTTCTCTGTTGATTTATCTTGTTATTGAAGTGTTTTTTTTTTTTTTTTATTTAGTGACCTGTCCTACAATGAGGTGACGGAGTTACCGTCCTTTCAGGGTTGTGGCCGGCTGCAGGAGATGTGAGTGTCGACCTTGATGAAGTTAATAAAGCTATTAAAAAATATGCCCTAAGTTGTTTTACCTACATATTCCAAAAAAGGACAAAAATTCTTCTTTAAATTTGCAGAAGCTTCCAGCACAATCATATTCAAGAAGTCGACAGAGATACTTTCCAGGGTCTCTCAGTGCTGCGTTTGTTGTAAGTCTTTTCACACTCTCAATATCAAATTTGAGTCAAAGAAAAAAATGTGTTTTAATCCAGCTTTTTACTTTTGTTGTGATTTTTAAGAGACCTGAGTAGAAACAAAATTCGAGTTATCCACAAAGATGCTTTCCTCACCCTCACTGGACTCACCAACCTGTGAGTTGAACCTTATAGAAAAAAAAAATACACGAGTACTTTATGTTTTTTATTGGATAGAAAGTGATCATTATTCCTACGATTCTGCAGAGATCTAAGCATGAACGCCTTGTCTATGATTCCAACAACTGGACTGAGTTCCCTCAGTCAGCTGAAACTTTCAGGAAACCCACAGATGAAAAATGTTCTACCTGCAAAAAACCTTCCAAAACTCCGGTAAGTGAGAAAGATTGGATGTTTTCTCTTTTAAGTCTAAAAGGTTTGGAAGAGGCTGTAGGTTAAATTTGAGAAACTGTTGCATGTGTTTGTTCATCCTTCTCCATTTTATTATTTTTTTTTTTGTTTTATGTTTAGAAAAAGAAAAAAACCTTAAGATATTCTACAATACCATACAGTTTTGATATTCCATGATTATTTTTCTCCCTTTTCTCTTGTAATATTCTTACACTTAGATTTTTGTCTCTGCAAATTAATTTATTTAATGCATAACTGCTCATTTATTTCATTGATTATGCTACAAGTAGATCATTTTACTGAATTATTATTCAATGCAATCAATCATTTTTGGAAGTCCACTTGTAAGTAAATAAGTTACACTCCGGTGTGAAATTTAGTCCATAGAAAGGTTTCAGGAAAAAGGTGTGTAATATTTTAGAGATAGGTTGTTGTTTAAAATATTGCTTTAAGTTTAGAAAATCTCAAAGTTTTGCTCTGATCTCCACCGGACTACAGCTAATGAGTATTTTATAATTGATAAATCAGAGTCAGTTATTACTCAATTTATTTGACAAAATTAACAAATTTATATTTCTACCTCTTTATTCCAAAATAGAAAGTTTGGACTGATAGAGAGAATAAGCTCACAAAAACAGGTTGTTAGAAGTATTTTGCTGCAGAAGTGTTATTAATGAACAATTGTGCTTCAAACTAAGAAGTTTAGGTTTAACAGATTGTTAATCAGTCCATTAGTAGACTATATTATCCACATAAAAGCAATTTAAAAAGGTGAACCTAAAAAAATGATAATTTGACAGTAAATCCTCATGACAATGAAATAAACCACCATCCCATCTCAAAGACTTTTTACATTTTATCTGCATTTAAGTAAAAATTACATACTGTTCACTTGTACGTATATTTATTTTTACAGGGATGTTCATATCTTAAAGTGTTTTTACTTGTTCTTCAGCATAAGACATTCTGAGCTGGTGTATCAACAAAATTAGATATTGGGTACATAATGTGAATAATGTACAGCGCCAGGTCCACACAGACATTTTCAGCAAATTTGAGCCTAATCATGATAATGTTGCCTTAAATCAGTCAGAAGGAAATTGTTTTCTGATTATAGGGTCCATAATCTGATCAGATCCATGTAAACTTGTTTAGATCATGCCATTCGGATGAGGTAACCAGCAGAGCACTTTAAGAGGTGTTCATTTCCTCCCACTTGTATCCTGTAACCTACACATTAACCAGGAGCCCGTAGTTTAATAATGTAAAGCAAAAACGCCTCAATCGCTACCAAAACCTGGAGCAGGTTAATTTTGGGCTTTCAGGACATTCAGAACAAGCCCACCTTTGCATCTGTTGTCAAATTTACAATACTACAAAAACTCGGTGAACGTCCAAGTGATTCTCTGGTCATTTAGATGCAGCATCAAAAATGCAGCTTTCTCTTTTAATCCAAGCATATTCTAATCTGATCAAGGATTTTTTTCTTATTCAAAGATTGCTACGTTCATTTGCCAGCTTACAAGCAAATGTCAACATCAGCTGAGCTATCAGTTGCTTTTCTGGGCGTAACGCAGGATTCCACTGAGCCACTCGCTGTCGGTGTTTCCTCACTTCCAAACAGAACAAAAATGAATTATTGTTGTGACTCACTCTGCTGCTGAGCCCCCTTCATCCTCATTGATTACTGCATGTTGTCTCAGCTGCTGCATAATCAGTTTGGTGCTCTTGTTTCCATCACTTTCTAAGGCTTGCATTTGACCCATTATGTAGTTTATTATCATTTTTATTATTATTCTGCCATGAGCTCCCACTCATGGCAGAATGACTTGATGACTTGGTTTGAACCGTTTTCTCTGGGTTGGTATTGTAAGAGTTAATTGCAATTTTAAATTATAATTAATGATAAAAAAAAAGAATAAATAAAACGTATATGATGCAACCTCAAGCTTACCAAGGGCCATAATGAGAGGCTTAGAGAGGCTTTTTTAATACTAATACTACTGGTAATAATAACTGATTTGGAGTGTAGGGATTGTTAAATAATTTCACACCCAAGATGACGCTCTGATCACATTAGACCAAATGTAACTTTTTGTCCAACATGCAAACTAACACGCCATACAGACATTTAATACCCTGAACACACCAGTCCCGTGGTGAACAGTAGTGGCAGTATCATGCTGTGGGGTGCTATTATTCATGAGAAGGAAGGGAAGCTGGTTGGAATCGATTGGAAGATGGGCAAAACTAAATAGAAGAGAGAAAACCTACTAAAGGCTGCCAAAGGTTCGATGCCAGGGCACGACAAATCTAAAAAAAAAATACACACAGAGCTAATATAGATTTGATGAAATCAAATTCATTTGTGTTAATGGACAAGAAATGGGATGTTTACAAATGCGCCGTGCTCAACGAAGCATTTGGGTTAAGAAGATTTTGATGATAAGAAAAGGCTCTAAAATGTGGTAGAGATAGATTTAACTGCATCAAAAGGCTGTTCTAATTATGAAGAGCCGGAGACTTTTCCCACTAAAATAATCTGAACAGCCAACCTTTTATTTAATGATTTAATTCCATAAATCCACAATAAATCATTTTAAAGTCATTGGTTATGTGACATTCTGTCAAAGGTTCAAGATGTATCAATTAACTTCCCTGAGATATTGTAGTTGTTTTCTTTTCTTTTTTTTTTTTACATTTTTTATAGCATGGATTGCTCGTCAGTGGAAATGATAGAAACAAATAACACAGCGGAAAGTAGGAAAAAAATGAAGCGAATAATACATCTGGAAACAATAAGAACCTTAAATAAAATACAATCTCAACAGCCAGGGATCTTTGTTTTGGAATGTGTTTTACAAGGTTATAGAGACAGTGTTTTTGGGACTTGGACAAACTGTATTGCAAAAGACCGAGTGCTTAAACTGTTGTTTAATTAAGCTGATACCCTGGAAACCCTTAAGAAATGTCATTCAAAGGGACAGAGAAGAAGAATCCAACTCTGTGAGTTAGAATTTAATGAGAAAGCCAGGCAGATCTGTTTTTCTGCATAGTTGTTCCTATTTTAGGAAAACATCCAAATATTTGTATAAAAACAACCAGAAAGCCTAAATATTTCCTGAGGCATTCACTTCCAATGCTCTCCTCAGAAGGTTTTTGTAAAGATGACGTGCCATTATCAACAACACAACTCAGCTTGACTCTAAAAGCCTTGTGTGTTTTAATGATTGTTTGCAGGTCGATCTCTGTTCCCTACGCCTACCAGTGCTGTGCATTCATTGGATGTGAGTCAGCAATGAGGTCTTCTGAGGAAACTGACAGGAAGAAATCTACAGGTGGGAATGTTGCAGGAAGTTCTTTTTTTTTTTTTCCTAGAAATGGATAGCTGGCTTGTGAGCATGTGCTCTCTCTCTATTAGAGGATACATTGAACCACTGAGGTTCAAGTTTAACTTTGAGAAAAGTAAAATAGGAATTTATACATTGACATTTTTGGCTGTCCAATCTGCAAGAATTACATTAGATGATTGTTGCTTTGAAAAAGACGAAAGAATCCAGATTCTCTGACAGCCTTAAAAAATGGCAATTTTCTTTGAGCAATTTCTCTCTCAGAATGATTATTGAAAAAGGAAAATTGAAGAATTATACATTTAAAGTCATAGGGAAATCATATTTGAATCCCAACTCATTCTGGCTTAAATATGTATATAAATGTACTCTTTATCAGATGATATCATATCGTCCCAAAATTTATTTTATGCAGGCCAGTTAGTTACACGTCATCTTGTAAACCTAAATTCGGCCAATCATATATCAACGGTCATCTGTCAACGAAATCTTTTTGGTCATAGCATCTTTATTCATATGTCGGAGCTAATATACGCAACGGTTGAAATAAGAATAATTTACCATCGGTTACTTCTCAGTGTTCACTGGGATGGACGTCTGTGTCTTCTGCAGGCGTAGAGCTAACAGAACTGGCAGCGTTGCGAGGCAAGGGCTCAAACATGTACGGCTGTAAGCCTTCTACACCAAACCAAGCTTCTGCCACCCTGGCGTCCTCTTCCATAGCAACTTTGTCCCTGCTTTCCTATAAATAAAAAATGGATGACGGAGGAGACTCATCCACGACCTCTGACACAAAACTCTCCTCCTCTTGCATGTTTCCGCAAGACAGTATCGTTTCTAAATCACTAATTTAGTGCTACTTGGTCCCAATGTTATTTCCCATCGGGAACCTACTAGCACAGAGTTGCTAACTGGTTAGCAAGATGCTTCAGAGACACCGGCCACAACCAAAATAAACGACCAATCACATTCGCTATATTCACTCATGTAAAGCCGTGCACCACTTTGAGAATTCTGAAATGCGGGTAGAACAGCCGTTTCCCTACGACTTTAAAATGGCAGTGATGACAGCATGAAGTATTTTCAAATAAATGCTGTATTAAATGAATTTGAATCGTTCAGGAATTAAAAATAATGTTGTGCGTCTGAAAATATCAAAATTAAAGTTGTTCCTGTTCTTTTCATTATGTTTTAATATATTTAGTCTATCAGAATATAGAACACAGGTTTAAATGTGTCTTTGCGAGGCTGAAAAAAAAAGGTACTGAGGTAGATTTTTATACTAACTGGATTTTACTATAGAAATAACCTGAACATGTCTGTCTTTACGTATGAGGCCCATTGATCAATATTTATATTAATATTGAATCTGTGAATGTTTTCTTTACAGATCCCTTTGGAGTTTTTGCTGTTGACTTTGGTGGCATATTTATGTTTTAATTTATTTTTTCCTTGCAGGTGCTGAAGCAGGGGAGCAGGTCTCAATGATAATGCATTGCTCTCCTTCACCAGGTGAGATGCTGTGTTTCTATTGCTTTTGTTAAATAATCATTCCATAATCCAGAAATGAACTTGATCACTTTTCTTTGGTAAACAACTTTACTGATTCTTTGTTTAGGAGCCTTCAAGCCCTGCGAGCACCTCTTGGGTAACTGGATGATTCGTCTGACTGTCTGGTTTATCTGCCTGGTGTCGCTGGTGTTTAACAGCCTGGTGCTGGTGACCACCTTCTCCCCTGCTCAGCGAGCCACTGGTTATTCCCCCTACCTGACTCCATCTTTGTCACCAGCCAGGCTGTTGATGGGATTGCTGGCCATTGCAAACCTGCTCACAGGCCTGTATGTCGGCATTCTGACCGTGCTTGATGCTGCAACGTGGGGATTATTCGCAGAGTTTGGCGTGTGGTGGGAGATGGGCCCCGGCTGTCAGATTGCAGGAGCTCTCGCCGTGTTTTCTTCAGAGTGGTCCGTGTTGTTGCTGTCGCTGGCAGCCGTGGAGCGCAGCATGACGGTGCGGATGATTCTTGGAAAAGTGATGATGACGCCCAGGAGGAACGGCGGCAACCATCGCAGGTGCTTGAGAGGTTACCAACGCTTCGGCCTGGCTGCGGGGCTGCTGGGCTTGCTTGCCGCCGCCGGAGCAAGTTTGCCTCTTCTGACCTTCGACGATAAGTCCTCTTCTCCTCTCTGCCTGCCGTTCGCTGGGGGTGAGAGTCCAGCTCTGAGTGTTACGGTCATTCTAGTCCTGCTCAACGCCCTGGCCTACCTCTTCACAGCCGCAGTATACACTCAGCTCTACTGCCACCTCGGCAGGGTGGAGTTAGCAGATCCAGAACAGACTGGCGCACTGCGCCATGTAGCCTGGCTCATCTTCACCAACTGCATATTCTTCTGTCCGGTAGCAGCTTTTTCATTCGCTCCACTTCTGACAGGATCTACAGCCGGCGGCCCGGAAATTGCCAAGTCCGTCACCCTCATTTTCTTCCCCCTACCTGCGTGCCTGAACCCAGTGTTGTATGTTTTTTTCAGCCCAGCCTTCAGAGAGGACTGGTTAAGGTTGCGAGGTCACATTGGTCTGACCCGAGAGGCGAAGGCTGGTGCTGAAAGCGGCTGCGACGACGGCGGTGGGGGCTCAGAGCTGACAGACGGAGGATCCTCCACCCACCTAGGCTTTGACTGTGGTGTGTACTCACAGCTTTGTGGAGAGACTGTATGCGAACAGTGCGAGGCAGTGCTGCGTGCCCGGGCCTGCTCTTCCTCCTCAGGCTCCGCTATCTGCAGACATTTAGTGAAGTCTCACAGCTGTCCCACCCTTCTGGCCGGGGCAGCAATATGCCAGCGCTCTGAGGGGTTCTGGGCAGACAGCAGCACACCCTCTGCTCAGTCCGAGTGCGCTGACGAGGGAGACTCATTCATTTCAGACAGTTCAGACCAGGTTCAAGCCTGCGGCAGGGCCTGCTTCTGCCAAAGTAGAGGACTTCCTCTGGTACACTACTCATACAACATACCTCGAGTCAAGGACTAAGGGTGCCTCAGTGCTCCAGAGCGTCAGTGTGCACAGATATGTCAGTCGTGTGAATTTAGATTCTTCAAGATAATGTAATTTTATAAATATATATATATCAGAACAGAAAATGTGCCAACTACCTTTACAATTCATCACGCACTTATGTTTGTAATTACTGTTTAAAGACATGCAGCAAATCATTGAAAGGGAATTTCAAGTTAAAAGATCATTTCTAGATGAAATGTACCAAGTGCTTCATGTTACAAACTGCTTAACAAAAGCAAATCTTACCACCAGTGCCTGCCTGCCTCTTCTGATCAACTGACATGATGATGATGATGATGATGACGCAAGCATAAGGGGTCAAGGATGTTTTATGTGTTGTGTACTCATAAGCTTTCTAAATATATCACACATCAAACTTTAACATGTCTATCCAACAATTTTTATTTTTTTAATTGGATATTTTTATACATAGATTTAGCAAAATGATGATCATTGTTTAATTTCTTTCAATGTGTATGTGTGAATGTAAGTTCAAGGTGATCCAGGGTTCCTATGCATACCGAAAAGTATAGAAAAGTATTGTGATTGATTATAAAGTATTTTCCAGGTCCGGATGAGTAGGGGAAAAAAAAAAAAAGGTATTTCCAGACATTCTGATTCCAGTTGCCTTAATACAGATCCTTCCCAGTTTGTCCATCGCGTCTCTAGATTGCTTCTCCTCTTGCTTTCCTATTTTTCCTTCTTTCTATTAACATGAGGTTCTGCTTACTTGTTTCCTTTCATTCAATTTCCTTATTTTAAATCCTTTCTCATTTCATCCTTTCCTTTTCCATATAGTTGTCCTCTTTTCTTTCCTTAAATGTTATGTCTTCTTTATTCCCTTCTCTCCCTTATTAGTGGCTTATTGCCTTCCTTGTGTTCCTTTTTGTCCCCATTGTCCTTCCTTATTTTCCTTTCTTGTGTACTTCTTTTGTCCTTCCTTGTTCATACCTTTTGTCCTTCCTCCTTTGTGTCCTTCCTTTATGGTCTCCTACCAAACCTTTCTTTCCTATGGGTTTCACTCTCTTGTCTCCTTTTATCTTTCCTCACACCTTTAATATTTTTTTCCTTGTGTCAGGACTTGTTTTCGTCTGTCTTTATTCATTTTATTGTATTTTTTGTTCTTGTGACCTTTCTTCGTTCTTATTGTTTCTGGGTTTTTTTTCTCCATTGAATGTCTATATAGAGTAAAATAGAGAAAACCTGCCATATGTTAGGATATTATATTTTATTATTATAAGAACAGATAAAAAGGAAATAGAACGCTGGAAGTCGAGCTTTGAAAAGTATGAAACTCAACTGAGGATTGTGTTGGAACCCTGGTTATGTTCTGCTTGTTGGGGTTGAATGATAGAGCATTGATAACTACTAGCCTATGAGCATGTGATTGACACACACCGCAGTGAGAATGACAGAGTTCAGTCTGTAAAGAAAAACACACCTTTTGCTTTTTATACTCAGAATGTGATAAAAGTAGCAGCTATTACTGTTTTAACAACTGTGTTCAGTCGATTTGACACGCATTATTTATTGTTATAAGCAGACAGGAGTGTTTGGGCGGAGACTATTTGTGGCGGCCTCTTAATGATAAGAACGCACGACAATGTAATCCAAGCATTTTGCCAAAATGGCACCTCTTTTATTATTTATCTCTTATTAGGTCATTTTCACATATTATTAATGCAAATCCCACTTGTGTCAGACTTTCAGCTTTTTTTGGTCCTAATTTTGCTTTCACAGCTTTTTTTTTTTTTTTTTCCTGTCCAAGCTCTAGGCGGAAAATGTTTTTCACTCACAGGGAAGTTTCTGAGCTGAATCCTTTGTGTATTTTGAACTTACTTAAAGAGGTTTTGCCGGTTAATAATGGAACAACTCAATCTAATGAATCACAGTCCAAGTTAAGCTCAATGAATGCAAAGTTAATTTCTCACACCATTTAAAGACTGGCTGCAAGCTGAGTCAACAAAAGAAGGTATGGAAAGCTTCCAAGTTAGATGAAACAACATAGATCTATGTTTTCTGGGCCTTAGAATGTACACATGATGGTAGAAATGGGAAAATAGGGCATGAAATGACATATTTACTCTTTTTTTTTTTTTTTTTTTTTTTACAGTTCAGCTCCATTATCATTATTGGTGATTTATTATTGTATTTTAATTTAGTTTGAATGTATGTGATAATCAGAGTATTATTGTATCACTAAGTAAATACCTGTAGACATCTTTTCATCCTGACCTAGTTGAGGCTGGGCGTGACAGAGTCTGACGGATGTTTAGTTTGCTCAAGCATGACTGCACGCATTGAGGTGGTCACACCCTCTAAGCATGTATCTACAAGCGCACGCCATGTGAGTTCTCAGGAATTCAGGCAATGTAGGGAACCATTCTCCTTCAGCACCGAGACATTCTCATGTCTTCTTTATGTTCCAGTCCTTAAATGTATTTGTAGTCATCTTTGGAAAAGATGCTTAAATCGTTGTATTAACCAAAATGCCTCGTTTTGTTTCAACATCTGATCTCCTGTCTGCTGAAAATGTGCAAAATCTTTCAGTGCTTTAATTATTTCTGTGTTTTCCATGTAAATTATTTGAAAAGGAAACTCAAGAATGGGATGCTAACTAAGGAAGCTACCTCCTCGCTTGTTGAGGCTGTCAGCAGTGCTTTGTAAGAGAGTTTGTTTTTATTTTTCACTGTTTGCATCCTCAGCTTTATAATGTTCACTTTAGCTGTAAATCATTTCAGTTATGTGCAAGTTGTGGGAGGAATCTATGTACTGTATACTGTGATTTTTTTTTTTGTTCTTTTTCCTTGTTTTTAACAAAACAGAAAATGTCTTTTCTTCTCTACTGTCACAGAATATAGATTATCTTACGTATTTTTACTTAGCATTTGTTCAATTTGAATCTAACCTGTATTTTTTTTTTTTTGTCAGCTCCCCCTGCCCTTTTCTGTTCCGATAGGTAAATCAATTCTTTAAATTGTGAATGAATAAAATTGGTAAAATCTTAAAGCTTCTGTTTTGCTTAATCAGATTTGGATTTGCTGCAGATTTGCAGCACACCAGTGTATTTTATTGCAATCAAGGTGGGGTGGGGGAAAGACAGTACCAGTAGGCCTTTTTCCTGTGCATTTACAGCCAAAGGAGTCCAGACTAACCTTTCTACTGGAATATGGTTTTGCTTTGTCAACAGCACAAAGAGCCTCTAAAACGGTGTATTCATAGCTTCTATGGGAGTTACTGTGATGTTTTGGTAAATCATAAGAAGTTACTAAACAGTACAACCTGATTAAAGGAAAAAACAAATAACCTAACCCTGCCTGACTAAATGCTGCTTAAAATGCATAGAGTTTTAGTATAAAGCAGTTAACCAGGGAAGGAAATAAGGCTTTTAAAAAATATTAAATAGAAAAAAATATATTTTATTTATCTCTGGTTACATAGTTGGAAAAAAAATGTTTATTTCTGTGATGTGAGCAGTACTGAGGTCAGTAGGTTCAGAAAATCATACTAGTTATTCTTAGACATTGGAGCAAAGTTATTTTCTTTGTGTCTGTGAGACTCCCTGTTCTTTTAATGGCCATTTAACAGATTCCTAACCGATTAGTAAGGAATTTTCTCTTTTAACAAATCATACAAAATGTAATTTAATGGAATGAACTGATCAGGGAGAACAGAATGAGTGGAAGAGGAATGCCTGCAGAAGCTAAAGGTCCCCCTTGTGGTGGATGAAAAATGGATCCTCTGCTCAGGGCACATTTAGCATCTTTTTATGCCAGACTTTTGGTTTTCCCAAAAGGCAATGATACAGTTAATATGGTTTAATAAAGTTAAATAAAACTTTTATTTTTTAAATAAAGAGGTATAACAAAAATGTTATCTGTAGCACTACAGAGAAGACAGTTAAAGATCTGCTAAAGCTCTACTTGTTTCCGACACTAACTGTTGCACACCAGCACAGCTGGCCGCTACAGGAAGCTGGAATAGGGAGCCATTGAAAAGTGGCAGTTTTCTCATTAATTATGTGATTTCTTTAAATATGAAGGTAATAACATTGGTGATACAAAACAATCATAAAATGCTGTTTACAGAGCCTTACTGAACATTTCTCTTCAAATGTTTACTATGATAAATAGGAGCTTCAACATTTCTATAACCAAAAAGATGGAAAAAAAATATCTTAAACTAGCCAGTTGATTTCCGTTACATCTCTATTTTCGAAAAAAAAGTATATTTAGGAAAAAAATGCTTGTAAAGACTATAAATAGTAATGTTACGTTACAGGTTTTATGTTCAAAATATATTTTTGAGGGGAAAAAAACTTAGATTTTTGATAACCAAGTTGAGGTTTAAGGTTTTGAGAAATGTAAATAATAAAATTAACATGTATATTATGTATAAAATTAGAACGTTTCAACTTTCAACACAGGACTACTGTTTTTTGCTCCTGTTTTTTTCCCAGCTGAGCAATGTCATCATCACCACTGCTATCTTCCTCTTTCTCTTGATCAGGAGTGGAAAATAATTGTCTGAGAATATAATTTGATAAATCATCTTAAGCTTTGAACCCAGTGGGTATTTGTACATATAAATTATAAGTTCTGGTTAAGTGTCAAAACACCTGACAGACACAGAGACACTGTTGGCCTTTTATGTGACCAGTGAGTCATATCCAAGGCTCACTGGATCATTCGCAGCTGAACGTCAAGGCAGGAAATATTTACATTCACAGCATCAGTGGAATAACTTGCACCAGCCTGTAAAAGCTTAGAGACACCATGTGTTTTATTTTACTGACAAAAATACTTTACTGGGAGACACTCCAGATTTTCCTTCCTATCACACATATATTCTGCTGAGCAACATTAGGAAGACACCTCACACTTCTGGCATTATTTAAGCTAAAGCTTTCAAAACTTTAGAGGACTTTATGTGTCACAAAAAAACTTTGGGAAACTTAGAATTCAATCAAGAAAAATATATAGTCAAGTTTAATTTTATATAGATTTTTACACACATGAAACATTACGCTGGTGAATATTGTCAGGCATCCAGGTCATAGTCATTCTAAAAAAAGAAAATTAAAAACAATCTGCTGGACTTTGTTTCCAAGTTTGAAGAGGTTTCGCTTCCCATCGCATCCCATTTAACATTAACATCAAACACTTGATCTGTATCTTGATTATATATATTTTTAAGCTGGAAATAGTCTCATCTTTATAGCTTGAAAGCAAAGAGATTAATAAAGAAAACCAGAGGTTGCTTTCAAAATAACATGTATTACTAACTAGGCCAAGCGGTTCAGTCCTGGCACTGCAGAAATCCAAAACGTCAGAAGATGATTAAAGACAAAAGATTGTTGGATAAGCACAGATAGTGATGTAACTTAAGCATCAGGTTAAGAACCCATCTCTCCCTCCCCATTCAGAGACAGAGGCCTCATTGATTGGCATCTTTCTTTTCTTCTTTAGCAATCTGAGCTGTAAGTCAAGAAGAGATACAAGTCAGCTTGTTATTGCAATGGAAAACAACTTAAAAAAATTATCTTCACTGTGATAAACTGTCATGTTTATGCTAATAAAATATTTATTTTTACGCATGCATCTAAAAAGATCTCAAACAAGAGAGTGCTGTTTCTTATATGCCTATAGAGTGTTTCCCAACCGGGGGTACACGTACCCCTCGTGGTCCATGGTGCATTGCAAGGGATATATACGGTAAAAATATTTTATATCTTAAGTAGTTACATAAAATATGTCCGGGATCTGTATTGTTTTTGTGAGCAATTAAAAAATAGAAAATTTAGCAAGCTTTTATTAATCAAAAAGTACGTTTTTTATTATATGTTTGAGTTCACCTTCAGCTTTTACACACGTCCAAACCAAGCAGAGGAACAGATTGGATGTAGAGAATAGCCTGGGATCAGCTGTTTTTCACACTGAGCTATAGGAGCTAAAACTAATTAAGCCAGTCTGATTTTTGTTCTGTAATTTGTAACCCAGAGGAGCTCCAGTTTTATAAATTTCTGGTTAATGATATGATTTAATTTTGTATTTATTTCAATTCCTTACTAACTTCCAGGAAACATACTTGTTTTTTTTTTTTTTTTATTTGAGATGGAAAGCCTCAAAGGATAAGAATTAAACGGTCAAATTAAAAGATATAGTAGAATACTCTTTATAATTAGTTATTGTACCTTCCACTTCTGGATAATCATCAACACTGTTGACTGAGAGGGATACTCATGGTAAAAAAAAAAATGTCCAAAGGGGCGCACAAGTCAAAAAAGGTTTGAAAACATTGATGTATAGATCATACTTACGCCGAACCTCCAGCTTGCATTCCACCACATCTTCCCCCTTGTCATTGACAGCTTTGCATGTGTACACGCCGCCATCGAATGGACATGGCTTCCGTATCTCCAGTGTCACAATACCTTGCTTAGACATCATTCGATACTTGGCTTCATTGGAAATGTCCATTTTGTTTTTGTACCAGGTCACTTTGGGCTAACAAAGAGAGAATAAATCATAATAGTCCTATTATATTTTTCATACTCTGAATATTGTCTGAAGAGCTGGTTTAACCTAACCACCAGATCTGTTTAAATGTAAACCAGATTGATTGATTGGGTAATCTAAGCCAATATTAAAATTGAAAAACTGATAAGCCAATCACAGTTGCTGCTCAGATGTAACCAGCGCTCTCATTGGTTAGACTGCTCCTTTTTGTTCACAACATGTGCATTGAGGGAGCTGCTTCAATCTGAAGAGCAACTGTGTTTGGTTTTACGGTTTGGTTTTTTTCTGTGTGCTCAGGGACTAGAGGGGTCGCAGAAAAGGTAAATGTGGAGAGGGTAAAGTAAACAGAAAATGCAACTGCAAAAAAAGGATTACCTTTAAAATGTGTGATTAAAAAAAGGTATTTATAAAGACATTTATTAATTGGGGTTTTGAAATCATGCAGGTCATAGTCATTCTAAAAAAGGTAAAATACTTGGTTTCCAAGTCTGAAGATGTTCTTAAATTGAAAAAGCTTCCTCGATGGGAAGCCAAACATCTTCAAACTTGGAAACAAAGTCCAATGGATTGTTTAACTTTTTTGAAAAATTTCAAAATAAGATTTGAAAATACATTTTCAAATTTCAATTACATTTTTACAATTAGAAACCCCTTTTCAAATAGTCTTTCTAATTGTATGATTTAAATGTGGAATTTAAAATGTCTATCATTATTTTTCACTGACTCTCCTGGTCCTCCATAGTGACTGCTTCCCACATTACCATCTGTAAGTCTATTTTAATATTTAACCTTATGCTTTTATTTAGTTCATATTTGAAATTATTATCTACACCCTGCCGTAAAGTCCAGACAATGAAAAGAACAAACTGTGGATATGAATAAGACCTTAAGACACTGTTGGACATGATGTCCATTTATCCTCATTCTACTTCCCTCATTCCTTGATAGGCAGTAATACTATTTGTTAAAGTTTCTTTAAGTCAGTCAGTCTTAGTTTTCCTGTCATATAAGCTACCCCTGGTCTAGTGCTTTTTTTATTTTGCCTCCGTCTTTTTTCTGTACTTCCATGTATTACCTTCTCCTCCTGAACCAATCAGGATGGATTGTTCCTGTCAAAAGGAAACCGTACCTCTCCACTGTAAATTGCTCAGGATTACAGTTTACACAGAAGTGAATTATATTGTATTTGCTAGTTTTCTTGAACAATTTCAATTCTTTTTTACCTTTATGATATCCATTAAATCTAATTGTACTGGAATGAAATTGTGGTAAATAGCATTTGATTTTATATTGATTTGAGTAGGACTGCATTTAATATGAAATTCTTTTTTAAAAATCCAGTAAAATTGAACGTATTGTTATGTCTTATACAGAACGTTGTGTCTAAGTGTTTGTGAAGCACTCTAAACATGCATACCTTTGGTATTCCTCGCACAGCACAGCTGAGGGTGGCGTTGTATCCCGCTATTACAGACCGGTTCACTAAAGGATGTGTGAACTTGGGAGCTTCTGAGAAGTCGTGCTCTTTATATGTGGGAGACTTGTAGTCGATACCTGCAGAGACCCTCAAAGATTAGAGATGTTTTCTGGTAGTTGTTTTTTTTTTTCTCTTACTACATTCCTGTTGTACTCGTCATAGGTTTTATATATATAAAATAGAGTCCACCTGATTTCTGGATGAACACGCTGTCCTTTGTGGTGTAGGGCTCCAGGCTGAGGCCCACCAGGTTAATGGAAAACACTCGGAAGAAGTACTCATTCCCCATGATGAGGTCAGACACCACGCAGTGTGTTCGTCTGTAGTGGTCGTGGACGGTAAACCACTCCTTTATAAGAAATACATAACATTCTTCAATAAGGTTTGATGACCAATACATTGTTTTTAATATGTCCAAAATTCGGTTTCCTAAATACTGCCTGATTTTATTGACATTTATGCATTTAATATTTTGAATTAGCTTTTTGGTGTTATTTTTTTTCTCCTTATCTTTATCTAAAACTCACAATTCTGGCTCTCTTACCCTTAATAAAAAATGGTAAAGATTTCCACTTGACTTCATATTGCAGCTGAACTAAAGCGGTTGTATAACAGCTAAATCTTAGCTGCAGGACAGAAATCAGATATTAGCGGCCTTAAAGTCCATTTGACCTCAGAAGTTTTATCTGACATGTACCAGGTAGACTTATTGGTAACATGATGACTATCAGCTCAAAGCTTACTGTGTTGCATGTAAAATTAATTTGATCTAATAATGACTGCGGTGAAACATGAGATGACTGCCATACTGGCTGGGGAACAATGCTCCTGCGTCACTGTTCAGACTATCTGGACCGGGTCAAGGCTGAGTGGATAAGATTAGGACATTCCTGGGCAACATTAGTCTTGGCAGTTCGAGGTGGAGAACAGTGGCAGTTGGAGTTCTTTGCCAACTGGTTCATCATTACTGGTTGTCAAAGCGGACAGCATGTTCAGCATTGGATAATTGAGGAATAAATGCCAGGAAGGAGACATGCATTGCACTCTCTCTCTCTGCTTGTTCAGGTTCTGTCCTTTCTTTCTCATCAGAGGTCAAAGATGTTAAATTATAAGTGCAAAACTTTTAGATGGGGAGGAGATAAGGTTAAGGTTAAAGCTATGATTTATTTTTCTATGTGATGTTTTAACATGACCTTTCCTTTTCCTTTTTTTGACTTTCTTTCCCAACTATTGAGAATGTTTGCTATACTTCAATAACAAAATTTTTTTGTGCATATTTTTTCTCATTTTCATTTAAGTATTTTTTGTTAATGGCAAAGTTCAGTTCAGTTTATTTATATAGCGCCAATTCACAATACGTGTCATGTCAAGGCACTTTACAGTTCACCAAATCATCCAGTAACTGATTCAGTTTTCTATCTAAGGAAAACCAGTTGATTGCATCGACTCATTGACTCAAATGCAATCCCTCACACTAAGCATGCTTGTAGTGACAGTGGGGAGGAAAAACTCCATTTTAACAGGAAGAAACCTCCAGCAGAACCAGGCTCAGTGTGAGCGGCCATCTGCTGAGGCCGACTGGGGTTCAAGGAGATAGAAGCAGAGATACAAAAAATAACTCATAATAACAAGATCGGTATCTCGTAATTATGAGATAAGCTGTCTGATTTTATTTTTCTTTGGAGAATAAAATATGCTTCTGTACTTTTATACTGCTTGATTGGTAAATAATTACTTGTATCAACTACCAATATGGCTCTAGAAGAGCTGCAGAGGTAATATTCTTTTTAAAAAAAGAAATATATATATTTTTTTAGTTAGTTAGTTCCATTAACACTTTAAAATAAGGTGCGTTAAACTTTCTTAACTATTAGATAATTCCTTGGGAGCCAATCAGGAACCAATGGGTAGTTCACCAATACTTAATGGGGATCACTCAGTCCAGCCTTATTAGGGGACTACTGTTATATGGGTTATATTCAGTTTTGCAGCTCAAACATTTTTTAAAACTGTGGGTAGCACTGCTGCCTTGCAGCAAGAAGGTTCTGGGTTCGATTCCCGGCCCGGGGTCTTTCTGCATGTTTGCATCTCTAAATTCTCCTTAAGTGTGAGTGTGTGTGTGAATGGTTGTGTGTCCTGTGTGTCTCTGTGTTGCCCTGCGATGGACTGGCAACCAGTCCAGGGTGTACCCCGCCTCTCGCCTAGTGACTGCTGGAGATAGACACCACTAAGCATGTTAGAAAATGGATGGATGGATTATCAGTAGACAACCAGAACTTCCAGGGGAACAAACAGTAAAGTTAGGGTTAGCTAAAATACCACCTGATTTCTGGATGATCCTTATAAGGATGGTCTGTGTGTTCTCCATTAGGGAAAATACTGGTTGACTACCCATTAGTAAATAATTGGTTCCCAAAGGGACTTCCTTGTAATTAATCATATGTAATGTGTAATCTTATGCATGTTTTTGTAAAGTTTTACCTCAGTTTCATAGTTATAAAATATGGCCCCATAATTAGTAGTAAAACATTGTGTAAGTGACCCATAGGCAGGAGTAATGTGCTATGTTATTCTTATTTGTAAACATCCAAAACTGTTGTTTTATAAGTTCACTCCTATTGATACAAACAGCTCACTGTGAAAAGAAACATGGTTTCTCACCATGGTCTTCTTGTCGGCTTTCTGAACGGTGTAGCCACTTATTTCACAGTTCCCGTCATCCTTTGGTTGTTTCCACTCCAGCGCCACATTAAAACCCCACACATCCACAATCCTCAGGGCTTCAGGTGGCCCAGGGAGATCTAAGGGGAGGATATATTTATGAGAACTATTTTATTTTTCTATTTAAATGGATCTATTCTTTACCAAAAAATTAGCCTAATAGAGAAAATTGGATGAGTGATCACATGGATTGTGCTTTTGTCTTCACCAAAAACCATCTCACTTTAGGTTCAGTCCAACTCACCAACAATCTGCAGCATGACTTTTGCTGTGTCCTCCACATTTTCAATCTGAACCTTCATATCATACTGCCCAGAGTGCTTTCTCTCTGTCTTGCGGATGAAGAGGATCGAATCGAATTCACTGTTCCTTACGCTTGCAAACGAGGGGTCCAGAGGTTCTCCATCTTTGCTCCATGTAACCTTTGGCCTTGGTTTACCCTGCAGGTTCAGAGGAGATATAGCTCAAAAATGCAAAAAAATGATACTTATAAAGCTTTACCACTACAATCACATCACAATAGTAAACCAATGTAACATAACATACTATAATCAACATATAAAATGTTGAATAAATTGCTATTTGGATGGCTGAAAAAAAATGGAGTGTAGTGCAAAAGTATAATCTAACATCCTGAAGTGATGTAAATCTTTAATAGTTTTTTTTTAACTTAGCAAGAAAACAACCCCAGAAAGTAAGGATTATTATTTGAAGGTTTGGTTTTATTGAATTAATGAAAAAATGATATGCCTTGGCACCGGGGGGGTGGGGTCAGGATGAGCCAGACCCACTTTCAGTTTGATGCCAACTCATCTCTATCTAACCCACACTGTAACTAACAAGGCTTAAAGGAAAACTGATGTGAAACCTTTTACCTACTAAACAATATGTCAGGCATCCCCAAATTTGGTCCTCGAGGGCAGCTGTCCTGCAGGTTTTAGAGATTTCCCTGCTCCAGCACAGCTTATTTACATTGATAGTAACCAACTTTTGCTGAATTGCAATCACCAGAATCAGCTTTGGTAAAGCAGAGAAACCTCTAAAACCTGCAGGACAGTGGCCGTCGAGGACCCACTTTGGGGATGCCTTTCATATATAGACAATTTTATATAAAACTTAGCATACTCTCACTTAGATGTATGACCCAAGTGTCACTGCTTCTGCTGTAGATGTAAAAATATGTAATTGATCAAACTGAATTCCCTAATGGTACCACACAGTAGTTTTTAAACCTGCTCTTCGAGTTCCACTGCTCTACATGTTTTAAATGTCTCTCCATTGCTGCACACCTGATTTAGATAATTGCATGATTTCCTTAGCAACCCTTAAGGAGTGCTGCAGAAGCCTGCTGATCATTCATTTATATAAGTCAGGTGTTTGGCACTAAGGATCAATCTAAAGCATGCAGGGCAGTGCTACTTAAGGACCAGGATTGCATATCTACACATCTTTACATGGCACAACTGTTTATTTCATAATAGTTCCAAAAACAAACAAGAAAAAAATTCATATGCTTTCTGACCAACAGCTAGTAGCACTAGCTACAGCAGAACTGTGTAACATGCAGTTTCACAAACTTTTCATGTCACTCAGTCTCACTAGTACCATAAAGATGACTGTGCTATTATCTTTAGTTTACTCTTAGCAAATGAAAAAAATCCTGAAAAACTGTGTCCCCTAGACCCAGACCCACCAAAAGCCTTTGAGTCACAGTGCTTTCTGAGAAAGATTGGTATTAAGTCATTACCAGTGTTACCACCATAAAGTTTGATGGCGACACTACCACTGTGTCCCCAAAGCTCACTCGGAGGAGTTCAAATTCTTAGCAAATTGTTCAGAAGAAACACCTCCCCCAAATGTCATTATGACGAAGGACCAAGTTAAGCACATCAGTAAGCAGGATGAGGCTCCAGCTCACATCTACATTTAAGGACATAGTGGAGAGGGTTGCAAGGTTCATGTTGCTGAGAATCACCCTCAGCATGAACCTTGAATAGCCAGAGCATTTCAGAGCATAGCCAGAACACTTCACAAAACAAAGGCTTATCAATGTCTTCACTGTCTCGCTTGTCTAAGTAATCCAGAATGTCAACCACTGTTACCAGTTTCAACAGGTGTGCTCGGGATGGGATTTATTACATCCTGATTGGAAAGCTGCTCTGCTCAGGGCAAGATACCCCTGAAAACAGCTCAGAGGATCTTTGGTGCTCTACTCTCAGCAATATAGGACAATTACACCACCTGCTGTCTCATAAAGACACAGTTGCAGTCTCTCTGTGGTTGCAGTCTCTCTGCAACTTTTCCTGATATCCTCCTCAAGAATCAACAGGTTTGGTTTCAACAGTTTTTTTTCCCTAGCTCTGTCAGACAAAAGAAGATACACCAGTCTAAAATCTAATGATCACAATGTGCAAGATTAAGGTTTATTATGTCAAATATATGATACAGAGTTCATTCCATAAGGGGTTCAACACACTAATATGAAACATTACTGTACATAATATAATGCACAACTCACTGTACCCTCCCAACATACATGCATTAGCTTCTTTATAATTATCTAGAGTTCATCATCTTCTATAATGTTGCTCTCTTTAAAATAGTATTTAACAAAAAATGTGTTGAAGAGAGCATCTAAAGCTGTCCTTTCAAAGACTGCAATAAAAATTGAATCCTGAAAAGTACTTCACCTGGAACGGGATAACAATGTTAACAGTTTCTCCAACTTTCTTGATGAGAGTTTGCCGAAGATTCCTTGGGAGCCAAATCTTTGGGCGCTCTGTAAAAAAAAAAAAAGAATAATAATAATTATGGAAAAATATAAAGGGGGTTATAAGGGAACCTCCTATTTAACCTGGCGTTCCTTGGAAATATACTTGCTGTTAAATAGTGTTATAATTTCAACACATGGAAAAAAAAATTGTGCTAGAAGAAATGGAAAGTAATTTTTTATCTTTCTTTTAAAAACAGGAACATAAAAGCTTAGAACATCAGTTAGGTGTCTGATGGTAATGTAGGGAAAGTTTGTTGTTTTGGAAAGAAGTAAAGCACATAATTGAGGTGATCATTTTCAAGCAAATAATATTAGACCCAAGGCTGCAAGTTTTTGGGCTGTACCCACAAAAACATAACTACACAACTAAACTAAACTAAAGAAATATTCATAAACCTAAGTTTCCTCAATGCAAACGATGTACAACTTTTCGGAAGGAGACTTGTGGACCGACTTTCATCCATTGGATCTGACAGATGTCATCTAAGGCCCTTTGGAAAACATTACATCTTTTTCAAGGGGCAAACAGGTTTTGTTTGAATGCATCTGGAATCCTTTTACTAGGTATGTTAAAGATCTGAACATGACAGAGAATAGAGTGAGTGACTGAGGATATCCGGTGTGGTTCTCAAATACAATTCGTATGAGGTTCATAAGCAGATTAATTAGACATATTGAAATGGAGACGATGTATGGATTTTATGAAGGGTTGCATTATAATTATTATAGATTGAGAGAGGCATACAGATGATGTTGTTTGTGTTCTGTTTAAGGCCTGAACAAAATGTCTAATATTCCCATCAATAAGTTTAAAAAAATGTTTGAGCTGCAAATTTAAACAGATTTTTTTTTTCATTTTCTTCTTAAAATAAGTGCATTTATAACATTTAAAATAAGATAAAAGAACTGCATTGTCTTATTTCAAGTGCATATTATCTAACTATCTTATTTTAAGAGTTTAAATACTCATTCCTTTGGCAAATGATCTTATTTTCCTACTCAATTGAAGGGTAAAGACACTTAATTTAGGACAAGTTATTTCTAGATTTTTTTCTGCAGTGTATAAAATCCTGATAAAGAAATTTTACCAAAAAAAAAAAAAAAAAAAAAAAAAAGCAACAAGCTAGCTGTCTAGAGCAAATTATCAAGTTGCACAGGCATAGCATAATGTGTATTTCTGCTACTTGGATTCCTTATGGGATGTGTTTTGGTTGTTTATGCAGTGCTTTTTCCATTAATATGAAATTGCTGAATAGAGATGTATGTACTGTTGATTTATTGTCAAATTAACTCTTCTATCCAAACTACCATCCAGTAATGATCTTATTCAGGGGTTCCCAAAGTAGAGGTGCATAAATTAGGGGTCAAAAGATAAAAAAGACAAAAATATAAATAATTTCAAGTACTTACTTGAGACAGAAATCTTTGCTCAGCCCCTAATTGTAACTGCATAAACTAACTAACCTAAAGAATGTTAAACAAAGACATAAGGACTCACACACCTGACTGGTTATTCTAATTTCGTCAAGCAAAATCAAAAAGTGAATGACAGCGAAAGAATCAGTTGTAGGTTTACTCACGCATGATCTCCCTTATGGTCACAGGCTGAGCCAGAAGAGCCGGAAGACTGGGCCCCGCCATGTTGTAGGCCCGCACTCTGAACAGCAGTCTGTCTCCCGTGGTTAGGTTTTTGATAGTTGCTGATGTTCTCTCTGTAAGACCCTGTATGGCGGGCACCCATTCATCTGCTGTCATTGTGAAAATACAAGTTGGAACCATTTAGTTGTCCTCTGTGTGTTATGATTTAATAACAGAAAATGATTAGTGATCATGACCTGTACAAGTTGCTTTTAATTGTTCCTATTCATCACTTTGCTGCAGTTATCCCATTCTATTGATAAACTATATAATGAACTGTCCTTATCAGAAGTATGCAGGTGGCTGGCTCCAGCACTTACTGCCCTCCTTGCAGTACTCGACCCCATAACCCTCCAGCTCAGCGGCGCCGATCCTCTCCGGAGCTCGCCACTTCAGCGTGATTGAAGTGTCGCTGATGTCTTCAACGTGCAGTCCCATGGGCTCGCTGGTAGGGGCTTGGAGGACCAAAGAAGGGAAAAATTGACTCTTTTGGCAGCTAAAGAATTACAGCAGTGAATTCTCACTGACCACTTTATGATTTTGATGAGCCGAAGATCTGTTTTATATTAGGATATACATTAGAGCAGATGTACTATAACAAATATGTTTTATTACATTGTTATTTTTATTTATGGCTTTTTTGCATAATAGTTTAATGGGAACCCTTCAAAGAGGGGCGTTATGCAGGTTTTATGGTGTAAAATGTCTTACATGATTTACATCTCTCTTAACTGGTCACTGCTTATACACAGCAGGTTAATTCAGGCAGTTTTTAAGTGAGAAACCAGTTAACTAGTCAAACTGTTACCCTTTAAGCCTGCAAGTGGCGCTTTCTTTCATGCAATGAAATATGAGCTCTTTGTCAGACCAGCGTCTAAGTGCCTGCTGTGTTTTAAGTCTTCTGGGGATAAAAATGACATGGTTTCCATGTGCATAAAAAGTCCTCAGCCCATTGGTAACAAGCCCTGCAATACTCTAAATGCAGAGGTGCCAAAAGGAAACTACTGTTACGGCACTTTGTAACAGCTTGGCTTCCTATCTCGGAAAATGCAAAGGATTCACATGCATTATTAATAGGGATAAGGATAGAACAAGTGATAGACTGCTAAACTGAGCTTTGCTGGACCGCTCTGTTAGCTGCACACAAGGATTAGTTAGTATAAACTGATTATTTTCTCTATACATTGTTGGCCTGTCAGGTCAGCAAAACTAGGCAAATATGGGGGGTTAAAAAGAAGTAAAACCTTTCCTTATGTGAAGGACAAGACAGTTCAAAGTGCTGTACATCAGAACCAAAAAAAAAAAAAAAAAAGCACTTTGCAATTTTATCAGGAAAAATTCCGGATACAAAGTTACTGAAATTGCATTTAAAAAAATCAAGAAGAATAAGAAAATCAGAATTCCTTCATTTCTCACTGTAAAGAGCACAAAATGTATTCCATAACAATCTAAGACACAACAACATACATGGGGGTACAGGTGGATGAGGCAGCCAGTGAAAGGCACTGGCCTTGGGTTAGACAATAATTGGAAAACACAGGGGGTAGATGAGAATGAAAAAATTCTTCTTTCACTTTATCCTTGCAGGGCATGATGTAAGGTTGCTAAACAAAAACTGCATGAAGCGCATGGAAGCCATCATATAATATAATCCTCCTGTGTTTGACTGTGTGTGACTATAAACGGCATAAGATTAAAGATAAAGATATTTTTGCGAAACTTTTTTCTTCAAGACAAGTTTAACATTATATTAAAACGCAACTCTATATACAGAACAAATTAAATGAACATATACCCAGTGAAGACCCTCATTGCTGGTGTAAAGGATTGCAAGAGGAAGTGACAATATTATATGCTCATCTCATGTGCAAATTAACGCTTTATGATGTGGGTGGTTCCTCCATCACCCGGACCAAAGATGTTTGCATTACAGTGTTAATTCCTCTATTAGACACACAAACAGCCCTCTGTGTGATTTTGCTAAGATTAAAGCAGCTATACTTCTCGTAACACAATTTAGAAAAAAAAATCTCCATGAGTGGAGCATGAGTAACGACCTCTGCTACCGAAAATGACTAAAACATCTTTATGACTAAAGAATAAAAAAAATTAAATAAAATAAAGATTAGTGTCAGCTTCTTCATAAACACTCACCAACTGGCACAAAGGGCTGGGAGGCTGGACTGTGATGAGACATGCCGATGCTGTTGACGGCATAGACTCGCATCTCGTATGCCATGCCTTCAATCATACGCCTGGCCTCGTAGGTTGTTTTAGGAATAGGGTCAAAGTTCAAGCGCATCCACCTGTAGCTCCTCAGCTTCTTTCTTTCCAGCACATAACCTTAGAATGTAAAAAAATATATATAGAATAATCAATGGCTTGCTAGAGAAGTAGGCAATACAAAAATAAAGGTCTGATTCGGTTTTTTCCTGTTGCCATCAGACTTTACAGTGCAATAACTAATGTGGAATCACTATTAAATACCCTGTGCAACAACGTGTTTTATATTCAATACTCAGTTCAATAACTATATATATAAATACCTACTTATATTAATACACATTGAATACCCTGTGCAATAACTCTGTATAATAACCCTGTTAAATAGGAGACTATATATATACGGTATATATATGGACATGCTGTACAGATTATTAACCTTGTATTCTTTAATAAAGGACTTTAGTTTTATAATTTGTTTATTGAAAACCCTTACTAGCCTTTCCTAGAGGGACCAAAGATTTAAAAACACAGAGATGTGCTTTGAGCTTCAGCTTAAGTGCTATCATGCTTAATGAAACCCAGTATCTCACTCTTTTCTTTTGCTGATACAAAACTTGGATGACAAAATAGACATCTGAAGATTTCTCTTTCTTATTCATGTGTTGTTGTTTTTTTTTGCCCAGAATGAACAAATAGCTGATATAAGCTAATAATAGAGGAAACATTTTAGAGCCAAAAAGGTGGGAGTCTGAGGTATGTAAGCCTATAGCTGTGCAAAAAGTAAAAAAAATTCATATTCAATCACATTTGCCACCACTGTCTCCCAAACTTCATAAGTGAAAGTTTAATAGATAAAGATTTGGAAAATACTATTTGAACTTTTCAAAACAAATGTTTTAATTTCAAATAACTAAATGCATTTCTTTAAAGTCTTGCATTTTTAAAATACCTTTAGATGACAGACAATAATATCTGCTATATACATTTCAACAAATAAGAAATGCTGTTACCAATGATTGGCTCTCCACCATCGAAATGTGGGGGGTCCCACTGAACGATGCAGGAATCTTCCCCCACGCTGAGGATTTTAGGAGCCTGTGGGGGATCTGGAACATCTATGGGGTAAAACAGTCATGAATCTAAAACAAATGTTTACTTCAATCCTTATTCCACCTCTATGAAAAGGCAGATTATTTTTGTCGTACCAACAACTTTGACATTGATATCGGCTGTGTCTTCTCCGGCTGGGTTACGAACCACCACAGAATAGACTCCCTCGTCCTGTCTTTCAGCACATTCGAGAGTGAAGATACAGTGACCTTTGCTAGATTCCACATGGACCCTGCCATCTCCTTCTGTGATGACCTAAATCATTAAAAAGATGGTAACTTAAATAATGCAACTTTGAACCTCTATTCTAAGTCGAGAACAAGGTCTAAAATTATGGTGTAAATGTAATGTATCTGTTGATAACTAGGAAAAAAATAGCCCAGGAAAGACAATCTGCTTGAGGTTTGTGCGCTTAAGTAAGGCCTTTTCAGACTTTATGTATAAAGTCCAAAGCCACGGATGTTATCAATTGCAATACTGTGCAACCTCACATTCATAGGCAGAAAATCTGCTTTTTTTGTCCTTCTGTAACATTTTATCATCCTGTTCATGTCACAATTAATTGCAAATATCCTCTTTATCATACCTGACTCACTGACTTTTTAAAACAGGTCTTGTAAAGCAGGATAAAAGATGAAGCATCGAGTGTTAGTGTATTTTAAAGAGCATGAATTTTGTTTCATTTGTCTTCCAATGAAATAAAGCTTTAATGCACAAAATATTTACAAATGATATACTTACTGTGCAGCATGTCTCCTGTCATCTTTGAAAAGTTTCAATACACGAGCTTACCTTAACCAAGGGTGATGCATGCTGTTAGTATCATGCTCATCTTTTGTTGAACAAAGAAAACCCACTGCTAAACAGAGGTAGCTGTTGGAGACTGTGCTGAGTATATAGTTAAAACACAAAAAGCAAATCAGTTCAATGTTCTAACTTTTTTTTACATTGACGGCACTTTTAAAGCTCAATAATGCCAACTTGAAAGGACGGTGATGGAGTTTCCTAAATAGCTTTGTTTATAATTTAGTTTCATTGCAGGTGAGACAACAGGAATCAAATTTCCAAGAAGGCTGCCTTGCATTTAAACCTTAAAACTTAACAAAAATATGATTATGATTCTCACATAAAAGCTTAACAAATAGGTAAATTGTTTCATTTCTTATAATTTACACGTTACTTTCCTTTAAAACTTTCTTGGAAATGTGGTTCCTTATGGTAAGAGAATGAGTATTGATTTACTAAAACGTAATGCTGACATTGCCTTGAGTTATTTAAAGGAGGCCAGGTCTTCAAAAGGGCAACCATTAACATGCACTCACCTCTCCATCATTCAGGGTCCAACAGGCTGAGTGCCCTGCCTTCTCTTCTCCATCAGGTTTTACAGAACTAGCCTACATTTAAGGACAGCAAAGCCGTGAAAGCTGATAACAGGGAGGGTGGATAATCTCTATTTCATCTCAGATTATTCCTTTTAGATAACAGTAGCACTTTGCTCATTCAGCTTGGTAAAAACAGGGAGAAAAGCATTAGTTTTTCTGAGATCAGTGAGGCAATGTTTTTAAAAGTGATAAGCAACCTTTAGAGCTTGTGATTTGTTAAGACACCTTCCTTAACTTGCAGCTTCCTAGAATGACGTGTTGCTTTCTGAGCTGGTCTCACAGGTCATACCTTTCATCTCTCTGCACAGATGGCTCCTTTCAGCACATTGAAAGAAAGCAAGTGTTACATCTCTTCTACCTTCTCTCCTTTGGTCCAGATCACTGTGGGAGCAGGATCTCCTGTGATAGGGACGTCCAGACGTAGTTTGTTTCCAGCCACCACTATGATAGTTGAATCAGTAGTGCGGCCCATGCAGTCAAGATGGATCTTGGGAGGATCTTTGAAAGCAATGCAAATGCTTATAGTGAGGTCTAAATAGTATTTTGCTTTATCTATATGAGTGTGAGTTTTTAATTTGTACCTTGGCGTGGCACAAAATCAATCTTCACCTCTAAAGAATAGATAAAAGGAGAAAGGAGAATGTTTTTAGCTTGTAACCATCAGTTGATGACTTTGGAGTTTAAAAGGTCAAGAAATATTGCTACCCAGAAAATTAAGTTTAGCAGAAAGGTTGAAAGCATGGCCATCTGGGACAAAGGTGTAGTCTCCTTCATCCTCTGGATTTACGTCATCGATGGTCAGTTTGTGGATTCTGTGTGTTAAAAGTTAAGAAATCATGTTATTAGATGCATCTGTTTATGCATGTATATGTTGTATGTTTAGTGTCCTCACCTCCCAATATGGGAGATGTTGGTCCTGGCGTCAGGCTTTACTTCAACACCATTCTTGTACCAAGTTCCCCTCACATTCTCGTCCGACACCTCACATTTAAACACCGCCTGATCTTTTGCTTTTACTGTGAGGTCTGCAATGCTCTGGTAGACCTCCAGTTCTTTCTCTGCACAATAAGAAAAAAACAAAGCATGCACAGACAGCTCAGAATGCAAAAATCAAGGCCCTAAGACAAAAGTGGCAATATCTCTATGTGAGTTATGATGAAATGTAAAATGGGTTTATCCTAAAATAATATGTAGGAGCTTTACATTATATCTATATATCAGAAGAAAAATTTTCATAGGACATATCTTTGTTGTATACAAAGGACACAGCAGTCAGCAGACTGCCAAGATAGAATAAGCAGATATGGTGGGAATGGCATTATAATAGAAACTCTGATGTGGGCTGGGGTGTTGATCCCCATAGTGCGGCAGCTGCTCATTCCTGGCAGGTTGGAGTTCAATTAACGAGGCATATAAACTTAACTAAAAAAAAAAAAAAAAAACAGCAGAAGGACAGCCCCTGAGACACCATAAAAGATCAGTAAATGTTTATAAAAGGAACAGCTTTCGCCAATGTAAAAACTTTTAATTTTGATTCTCTGCACACACACACACACAAAAAAAAAATTAGGAATGTATAATAATAATAGAACTTCACTGATCTCACACTGGAGAAATATACCTCTGCATTTAGCCCATCCCCATGGGGAGCAGTGGACTGCCTTTGTATGGCGCCCGGGGAGCAGTGTGGGGTTAAGGGTCTTTGCTCAGGGACCCAGAGTGGCAGTCCATGGGAGTGGGGCTTGAACTCAGAACCCCTGGATTCCAAGCGCAATGCCCTAACAACTTGCCCACCTCTCCCCCATGTGCATAACATATGGTTTTATCTTTAGCTGAAAATGTGCATATTTTGCAAACATTGGTATGCAGGGATTTAAGTTGCCCCAAACATTTATTTTTGCAAAGAGGATATAGATTGAATAATCTAATCTAGAGACAAGAGGAAAAAAGATATAGCACAGATCACTGCCCTTCAGACGATATGTAGCCCACACCTTCTAAGTTTAGCTGACATACACCTGCTGCTGGAACCTGGGCAGAACGACGCACGCTACACAAAGTCAACCTGCTAAGAATGATACGCTTGCACAGCCAGCGACTGGTAAGCTATGAAAAAGTCTTTAGCTATGTGTATTTGGACAATAGTGAAAGAGGAAGTAGCCAAAGTATGGCACTCACCCTGTACCAGCAGTTCAGCCACAGACTCTCCTCCATTTGTTTTGACCTTGTAGTGTCCACCATCCTCTTTGGTGGCTTCATTAATGATAAGCACATGTTTGCACCCATCTTTCTTGAAGCGATATTTCAAAGATTCATCTCTTGTCAGCTCAACGCCATCCTTCTCCCTTTACAGGAAAAACAAATGTCATTTTCAGTATTTTGGGAGATGTTTGAGGTTTAAGATACTGTATCTCATTCATTTGTTTTCTTTTATCCATTTAGGATCTCTCTATTTTTCCTCTTAAATAAGCTAAGTTAAGAGGATACTCTAAGAAAAATTGAGTATTAGTAAATGTGTTAGAGTCAATAAAATAAAAAAGCTCACTGAAATAGAGCTAATCTAATTCAACGATATGACTATGAAAGTATTTGATTTTGGCAAGAATATTTTTTACATCATAACATCTTTACTGGAAAAAGATCTTCATTTTATTATGGCAATTTTATTTTTATTTATTGTTTAATAACCTTTCAAACCTTTTAATTATAATCTGTTTTCATAAAAAGGAAACTACTGAAAACTAAATCTCACCATTTCACATTAGCACCTTCTTCTGACACTTCGCATTCTAACTCCACCCGCTCACCCGTCATCACCATCTGATCCTCCAGATTTTTTACAATTGTGACAGGAGGCTCTAAAGAAAAACAGATGAGAAAGAAAATTCAAATATCCATGGGTTTGCTCCAAATTGCCTATAAATATTTACCTTTGACAAAGAGCTCCGTTGTGCATTTCTCCTCTCCCACCATGCAGGTGTAAGCAGCATCATCCGCTAAGGAGCAGTGATTAATGGTGAGGTAGCGCATGTTGCCGACACTCTCAAATATGTACCTTTTAAAGAACAACATGATATTCAAAACAATCCATGGTTTTATTTGTGTTCTTACATTTTTACAGAAACTAAGTTGAGACTTACTTGCTGAAGATGTAGTGAAAGAATAAGCCATAATGTTAGAGATACAAATGAACAAGAGAGAAGTAAAGATTCAAAGTTAACTACATTTTAGTCCTTGCTGATTATATTGTAATGAAAGGGGGCAGCAATTCTTATTGAGTGTAAATAAAGTCAAACCTTCCAGATTTTTGGATCTCTTGTCCATTCTTTAACCACTTCACCTCCACATCCTCATTGGCAACCTCAACTGCAAGCTTTATTTTCTGGCCCTTTAACACCTGGTAGGCGGGATCCAGCTTTTTGAGGAAAGCTAACCAGAAATACATCACATACATAATCAGTCCTTTAAGTTTTTCGAAGTTTTAGATTAAACAATGCATGTCATAATCGCAGCATGCTGACCTTCACTTTTTTTCTCTTCCTTCTTCATCTTCTTGAGTCTCTTAAGCATGCCTCTCAGGTCGGTAATGCCGTACTGGAAAGCAATCTTTTCGTATTCTGAAGGGGGAGCATGACTGAGGATGTTCCACACTTCAACATCTGAATCCGTGTTCCCATGAACCACTTTGATGGACCTTGTGCAACCAGACAATGGTGTTAAGATCAGGGATAAAGCAAGAACTTTGAAATGTTCCTCATCAACAGAACTTTACAACTCAGCCTTGCTGCATTAAAAATGCTTATTATACTGTCGGTATATTAATAGTTTTTTTTTTACTATTTACAAATCATTTACAAATTGATCTAAAAAGGAAAGGTGTAATTTTTATGAGATTTGGTAAACATCATGCAGAGTTTGCTACGCAATAGATTAACATTATATTCTTGGTTTGTAAATGTAAATGTTACTTACTCTCTGTTGACAGAAGATCATCCGGGAAGGATAGAGAAACAAAAATTAGATTTTTAAATTTGGAGAAAAACTAATAATTGATTTAAATATAACTTTTTAAATGTATATTTATATTCACCTCTTTTTTAATAAGGCACTGAAGTCCAGTTCTCCTGAATCTTCTTTACCATCTGTGCTACTGCAGAAAGCATCAACAGGAAATATTGACTTTAATCCTTCAAAGAATACAAATGCTTCATTACAGATTTGGTTTTCTTTTAAGACATTTCATATTCCTTTAGTGTTCACAGAATTAAGATTACCTAGCCTTTTTTTTTAACCTCTGTTTAAAGATGTTAGGTACACACTGAATTTGGCAGATATAACCCTTTTACCAAAGAAGGTCAGAGAACTCTTTCTAAAGATTGTATCTTAAAAAAAATCTTTAAAACTTAAAGTAATGGAAGAAATTGTTGATAAAAGTAAACAAAATTGAAAGGCATGCAGTGCTTTTTATTTGGGGAATTACTGTTGTATATGTACAACAATAACAGTGGTTTGTGTCCTGGTTTGGCACCCATAAACCCAATTATTTAGTAAGGCAGATTTAGTTTTTTTGACAAAACAAATATTGTTATCTTGCAAAAAAAAAAAAAAAAACAGCTTATGTGCCCAAAACACTTGCTTTGCTTGCAGGGATTAGCAACCAGAGCAAAGAATTTAACCAGACTGAAACAGCTGTTTTAACAACAAAAAGCTGAAAATGTTAAATCAACATGCAGAGATAATGAAACTAGCATTGGTTCAAAATGAGTCTGAGGTGAGGCCACATCAACGCGATGAGAAAATAATGGTGTGACTGTTTTGAGAAAATCTAATATAGAATTGCTACATAAACTCTTAGCTAATAGCTAAATATTTTAAGTACAAAGTTAATGAAACGGTTTAGTTTAACGAAATAGGTCAGAGGTCTAATTATTTTAAAATGACTTAATAAACTTGGTGTTTAATTATCTTTAACTAATGAAGGTTTCTTTGTGAGAAAAACAGTTGGATGCCTTGCTATCTTAAAGTTAATACAAATGAAAATGCCACCAGGATTAATTGAATTTAGGACCTTAAAAGCCCATCATCTGAAGTAAATGTGAAAAGGAAACCATTATCAGGACAATCCAAGCTTTGTATTTTTTTTATATCAAGCTGGTAAGGCAATAAAAAGCTTTAGACTTTATCTCAATACATTGTCCTTCTTAGAAATTGAAACCTCTATCATTACAAAACTAGCTTGAGATTTGGTTGTCATGATATAATGATATTTTAATGACCTTGGTACTGATGGACTGACTGGATTATTGGTTCATTCCATCCACCTGCCAGCTCCGCCCAGTTTTCATTTACCTTTCATCAGATCCACCTGTTCCAGCTTTTACTTAAACTGTTGTGGTCTTAGCCATCAGCGCCAGATTATTTGAGCTGTAGGTGAGAGTTCTCTAGTGCACCCTGTTTGTTACTGTTTCTGTTGTTTCTGCCTTTGGACCTCTGAGCCTGCCTGGCCCCATTCTGATCTGTTTGCCTGACCTGTCTTCGGACTCCTGCTGGAATTTGCCTGCTTACAACCTTGGATTTGTCTCCTGTCCCCGGCTCGGATTTCCCTACGGTACCTCTTCGGATCTCTGATCTTCTGCCCTGGACTTCTGCTACCTCATCGACATTGGTTTTGGCTTCTCCTTCCAGAAACTCCTGCTCTTCTTCGTCTACTGGCTCCTGCTATTCATTTGGCTCAGCAGTCTTTTTGGCTACGGCTCCTGGAACTCTCTGGGTGTGTCCACCGCATGCTGTGTTAAATCATCCGGCTGGATTCCACTTCTTCCACTGGGCTTGAACTGAATGTTATAACCAGGTTAATGACTCACAGGCTAGTACTCGTCCTGCGTCAAAGTTACGTGGTCATTGGTAACCTTTTTTCCCCTTTATAGGGATTCCGGCCATTTAGCCCTGGCTGCTGACCCGTGGACTTTCAAAGGAGTCAATAAACACTTATAAATAACTTCACTCTGTCTGCCTGAATTCTGGGTCTAACGTTCTGAGTCCTGACAGATATAACTGAACTAGCATAACAACAACAAGGTTTGAGATTGAAATATCTTTATATATAGAAACAACATAGTTAATCATGAAGTCCTTATCACTTCAAAGCAAGCTTAAAATATTGATTGCATGATATTCTAGGTTTAAAAGTTAGCTTTTTGGAGTTTTGGAGAAATTTAGAGATGAAAAATGAGTAGCAACCCTGTCTTCTCTTGTCAGCATCAGCTGCTAAAAACTCATGATCTGGTCATCGCTTGCAGAGGTGACTGTTCCTTATGAAAGTCACATGGCCCGTTGCAAAGAAGGGAAAAAACATGGCAGGGAAAAAAGAGGGTGCATATAAATGTGATATGTTGCAAAGGCCTCTTGCAATAATTTCATTATCCAAAAGCACAAAAGCAACCAATCAGACACTAACCTTAGCCATGCTCGTGTATTATCAGTGGGATGAACAGTAAAACAGGGGCAAAGACGTGACAATCTCCAACCTGTGATCTGAAAGCATTTGAAGGTGAGTGTCTGGTATGTGTGGTGAAGTTACAACACATCATAGCTCCACTTCCTCTGTGAGGCAACCCTACTGGAGCGTGTCTGCTGCTGAAAAGCCTGAATGTCTTATCACATCCTGCTCTTTCAGTACAATAAAACCACCGTCAAATCTCACTCAGCCACATGGATGCTTGTTCAGCTGCTTTGGCTGTTTTGATTGAGACTCAGGAGGGGATCAAAGGGAGCTGAAACACATGCTTCTGTAAGCTATTTAAGAGTGTAGCGCACCAAATCCTAATATTCTTAAAAATAAAGGTAAAAACCATGTTGATTTTAATAGTTAAATTCTAGATTTTGCTCCCTGTAGATCTTCCTCCTAAAGTCGGCCTCAAAACTTGGTGAACTGGTGGCTGGAAAATCGAAACACTGGATTGTTTGATGTGACTTCAGAGAATGATCAGCCTATCAAAGAGAGAAGAGGTGCTGTTTTTCTCTGCCACTAAACAATCCATGTCCTCAGAATTCCACAACGGGCCTCCTTGGTTCCACCAAATCTTTCCACTACCTTGTCGCTGGTCCACTTCTCTTCTTATCACCTTCACTCCTGATAGATTAGCACAGTTATTTACCACATTTATATATGAAAAGTGCATTCAAACCCAAGACACAGTTCTTAATTTTAATTATTGTAAAAAATGGGGGTGAAATGAAAATTGATGTTACTGAAGCGAAAGCAAAAGCTGCCAAAGCTGTCAAGCTGGGGGATGCATGAGTAAGTACTGACAGCAGATGGAGCATGAGAATGTTTTTGTCTGTTGAGCGCACCCTGTGCAAAAATACTTTTCTGGCTCAAAAAGCAATTGGTAAACACTACAAGGAAAAATGCTTGGCAGGGATTGTTTATTATAGGCATATAATGTCACAGAGGTGCTTCAGACCCAAACCTTTCTTGTTCTTTACACATGGAAAGTTCACAAGCTATTTTGAGTTGTTCAGCTCCACTAACATCAATCAAATCCTACTTTAAAATACTTATCTTTCATCTGCCTGATATAAAATGAATATTTTGATTAAACCCCTAAATGAAATAAAATTGCTTGGCTGACATTAAAGGTATAGTGGACAATCTTTTGTTTCCGGGTTGATCATCTAAATAAGTGGTCCTCCTAATTGTCCTACGTGCTTGCCCCAGTTAGCTATCTTTTTTACGCATGCGCATTTTCAGGCGTATATGTGTGGTGAGCTACGGTTTCAGCCATGCATTGAAGCTCACCTTTCTCACCCAGATTCTTTGAAAATGGCCGAGGGTTGTAAGAGAAAACCTGTCTACAAAGTGTTTGATAGAAAAGAAAGGCTTCGGAAGAGGTAGATATACCCCAGAATGCTTTGCGCGGAGAGCTCTCCATGCAAAGTATTATAGGATTTGCTGTCACATCAGCATGCTGTCGCCATAACCTGTCACCAGTGTCGCCACCAGGGGGTGGTCAGAGGGGCATGGCCATCCAGTGCAATGCCCTGGCCACCCCACTCGGCAGTGTAAATTGTAGTAGCGTCAGTTTAGCATTTCATCCCATCATGCACAGCCAGAGACCTAACATTAAAAAAATCACACAATAAACCAAGATATGATAAGGTGTTTACTTAAGTCTTTTTGATTTCTACAGGCAGCTTTACCACAATAGTAGATTCAGAACCCTGAAATTATGGCTTTAGTTTCAGTTTGCCACCCCAAGATTTTTAGTGGCCCCATCTGGCCACTGGTATGAAACATTTCTGAACGCGCCACTGTATGTCACTACCCCACAGGGGCGACTCATAACAAAGATGGCGCAGGCACTGCGCAGTGGAGGAGGGGTTACATGACTGACAGGGATCAAATAGCAGTGATCACCAGTCTGAACGGTAAGTTAACTGGGTTTGCTAAAAAGTCCACTTTACCGACCCCACGCTATACAGTGATGTAGGCATT